ACCTCAATTAGCTACGCCATTGCAAATTGGACACCGTCGCAGTTTTTCTCAGATCTTCCCCCTCTTCGGAACTAAAATGACGATGCCCCTAGACTCACTCCTTGCGATTTTTCTGCACAACATATTTTTTTCACTCTTGCAACCGCTGCGTTAAGTGAAACTCAGTTCTGATTTTCACAGCGATTGCAAGTATTTTAATGGTCATTGCACAATTTTAAAATCGATTTTCGCAACTTGCGTTGCAATCTTGAGTTTTGCGCTTTTGTTTACAGACTAGCCCCAGTCTCCGCGATAGTTGCCCGGCCTCAGTCGTTGACATTTGCAGAGTGCGTTGATGTATGTAATACATGGCCTACTTTGGGACTTTTTTCTTGCTTCAAGGGTGTAAACTTTCTCTTCTCTTGCTGTTTTTTCGAATTAATTAAATTTATGTAATGAATATATGGTCTTCGAATAATGATGAAAAGATTCCCAGTACGAAAATAAGCAGCTTTTCGCCTTCAGTCTTCTTCACAGTATCGATCAGGTGACACAAAATATATCAATATTTAGTGTTTTTATGCAGACCCTCGAAATGTCCAGATCGCACACCCAACCACTGCAAAGGAAAGAGAAGAATGACACAAATTATCATTACTTTTATCTATATAGTTTATATGTTGATATGATTTCAGTTAGCTTTTGGTGATCTTTTCATATTGCGGCTCTGTAGTTAACTAAGTTCTAAGAAGCTAGGATAGGGCTTAAAAGATTCTAATTTGATATAAGATGTTACAAGGAGAAGATAACAAAATTCAGTATGTATGACTTCAGATTTAAGAAACAAATGCAGCTGTGGATGTCTAATAACATTACCCAGTGGATTTGAAAATCTTCTGCAAATAGTAATTGATAAGAGCAGTGAAAGAACGCAAGAAAAACATGATAACACTTGTAGTATCCGCTCTGCGAGCTAGATCTGCGCATAATGAGCGCAGACATGTCTACTTAGAATGAGAGATAAGCTCTTTGTGATCCAAACGGCAATAGGATACCAACAGATGAGCTGATTTTCTAGTTAAATATTTCAACGAGGTTTATGATGAAAAGTTACTTTCTCTGACAATTCTATTTGCTCATGGGATATGCATGCATTAAGTGATTTTGTTTCTAACTGGTGTTGGCCAAGACATCCACTTAAAAAAATCTATTTAACAAAGAACTATAAAGGTTGTCGTTTGACATGATCGTTGGGAACAGATCAATAAGAACTTTGAGTAAGAAACCGGCATATTTGTTACCGGTTCTGCTAAGAAAGCACCTTTCGGCTCACATGAACGCCAAATGCAATTAATTTATTTATTAATGAATCGATGAAATGATACGACCGATAAATCGAATCATTTGGCTACGTGGTGAATTGGGAAAATAGGATGTTGCTAAGCAACAGTTCTTTGCATACAATAGCAGTCTTTTTGTTGACGGGGATACTGTAACTGCACTGAAACAGCCAAGCATGCCGATACTCATTTCTTAACTTTTGGTGCAGTTGTTGCTTTTTGCGTCTTCCTTTTTCCTATGGATTGAATGATTTTAATGTAGTATAGATTGTGTTATAAATTGGTGTGGGGTTTAGGCCGAGGATCTCCGAGCAGTTAGGTAGAACCATGTATGCATGTATAAGAGAATGACAAAGCTGGAAGGTTCGGAGAATGATGATTATTTTTGGCTTTTAACTACATTTAATTGCAAGGAAGGAAGTTTCAATTTCCAAGTCGCCTCCTTAAAGACCTTTTAATCATCTAAGCGCAATGTTTAGCATCGCCCAGGGTGTTTGTGCCTTCTTTCAGATCAGTTTCTTTGCAGGCATAATACATTGTTGAAATTATTTCAACCATTTCCTTTCACATCTTTGTTTGTAAATAATCCCTCGTCTCGGTATGTTTCCCCCTTCGATAAGAGATAAGATTTGAACCCTTATCAACCCCACTGATCTATAATTGTCCCTAATTTTCAACTGCCCCTAACTTAAATTACTTCCTATTTTAATTGGGGAGCTGTTTTGTCTGCCCAATCACCGATCTTCATTTTCCTTTGGAACCTGTCTTGAATTAAATTGTGAACAGTCTAAGGAAATAATAAGTCTTATTGTCTTAAATTTTGCGAAGGGCTTGTGGCATTGACAGTGGTATGTGAGATCGACTTCTTTCAAATGTCTATCAGACGTCAATCCAATTTCATCCCTAAAAACCACAGTAGCTAATTCAGGAAAACCATTTATTTCTATTAAGAATGAAGCCTTTTTACATCATTTGACCTAAATAAACATGGAGATCCTTTGATAAGTGGTAATGGCTGTGAACACATCTCAGGCTTGCACAACTCATTCATACTTGTAATGATCTAGCAGAGGAAATTCTTACAGTAAATTATGCGAACGGTAATATTCATAACTGTTTTCCATTAGAAACTTGATACACAGAGACAGCAATGCGCCATTGTTCAAACAAGGAAAGCAATCGAATTTGATGGCACTGATTTGCATAATTTTGCACGTTTTTCACAAGATGCGAAGGCGCGTTTGAGACAGTGTGAAGGTTTCATTCTTCTGGCTCCTTCTCAGTTCTGTGTAGCAACCGCAACACTGCCTTGAAGGTCACCCGTTCTGGAAGAAATATTGCCGGAAAATTGCAGCTGTGTAGATTGACTGCATTTCGTGTTCCAGTCGCTAGTGACGTTTTGATTGCTTGAAAACAACGTAAAATCTAAATTGTTATCAGGTGGATTGCATGGAAAGCAGGCAGACGAGGCATAAAGATTTATTGCCACCCTCCTGTGTTAATATATGAATAGACTAATTCCTGGATGTTAGTGTCAGATTCTAAATCAATGGAATGATTAATTGTTGGCTTTTTGCATCCTCTAACAACATGACACTTTGATTTACAAGTCAGTGTTTTGTACCTGCAACGTACGCATGGTGGTCACAACATCAGTTTCGCACGGTTAAAAACTGTAGTTCTTCGTGGCTTGGGCGATTTAGTTTCACGAATAAGCTGCTGCATTCTTTACGCAATGATGGTAAGCATTTCACTTATATTTCTCTCGTTTTAACGAGGTTCTGTTTTGAGGCCAGTTTTTGGCAATTTCTGACGACTCTTGCGGTTCGCGGTTGCCAGTGATACATTTTGTATTTAATACCTAATTCTGAGAACAGGAATACATGAAGTTTGAATTAAGAGAACAATAGATAGAATCTTGCTGTTTGTGGTCTCCGAGTTTGGATCTTAAGATACTTTTTAAAAGTAAACATAGCTTGGTTGCTGGTATTTAAGGGAAGATTTGCTTAGCTTACAAGAAAAACCAAGAGGTCGTAGCCTTTCCATGCACTCCAAATTCGGTTTGTTTTTCAAGCACCTTTGTTGTCAAATTATTTCCCTGTTATATGCAGGAATAGCAAAGGAGAGATTTGGAGAATTCCCCTTTCCGTTGTTAATGTTTAACAACTCGGTATTATTGTTATTGTTATTACTAAGATCTTCGGTTCATTTTGCTCTCTTACAATTTTATAACTGCCAGTACCCAGGCAACTAAATTGAGAACAGTTGAATAATTAAGAGTACGTCATTTGTTTATCAATTATTGTTATATCATATACAGTTTGTCCATCGTAATGTTTGAAAGATGTCGAGATGAGGTTATTTTGTTAATTAGTTAAGTCCATTTTGCGAAGCATAAATTTTGGGTACATTTTGCCGGTCACAGAGATCTGTGGACCATACGACTCAATAGGACTTTTCGATTAACATGTGTATCCTTAGCATGGCACTAATCACCGTGCTCATCACACAGCAACCACTTCCTATACCACCCTTCAAGTACAACCACTGCTTATTTGTTTGATCCTGTTCCCCATGTGCGAATCATAGTCGTCCAGTCGATGACTTGATTAATTTTTTCTGGCTGTGATGATGATCCCGGTCTTCTTTTGGGATTCTGCCTGTAATTGGAACCATGGCGTGTATTACGAAACACCTCAGCACATGGCATCTATTAAACACCAAGAGGAGGAACAAAATGGGGTTTTTTATCCTCTTTATCCGTTTCACAAAGCAGCGATATGAGATTGTACTTGCCGTGAACCATCCTGAACTAACCCAGACTTTTTAACATGCACCCCCCCCCCATTTAAGGGGATAAATGGAGGATTTACGCATATGTCATATTAGTAATCGTTCAATTTTACAAACGAGGTTTGCACGTGTGAAAATGCTGCAATGCATAGTCATAATGCTTTTAGCAGATCAGCGATGCTGTATGATTCGGTTTGTGCTTGTCAAACTAACATTTTGACGAAGGTTTACAGCTGTATGAGAAGGTTTGTCAATCAAAAATCAAACAGTTCCTGAAATTACTATTCTCCAAGCTATTTTTGATTAAGACTTAATGCCAAATTCATGTTTAAATGTAAAATTATAATTAAAAGACAAAATTCCAGCCACTGTACTCGTAGCCACGGTTCTGGACAATCATATGACAATCAATCAATATAATACTTTAGAGCTGTTCCAAGTTACTTTGAGCCGCCCTACATTACATTGGGCAGTCCAATACGGTTTATTATTATAACAAATACTTGCGAATGTCACAGAAATATCAATTAGCATTTAGTTAGCATTGTGTTTTCACATCAACGTGGCGAATCTTTTTTCAAACTTTGTCCTTTCAATGCAAATGTTTGTAAGGTTGGTTATTTGTTTAAATTCAACATGCATGAAAGCGGAAATGGAAAAAATTGACTAGGTAAATATGTGTTTTTCAGGCCGGGAGTTCGCTTCAACTTCTTTTTTCTGTAAGACTTGGTTTTCTGTTACTATTTCAATCGTTAATGCCTTGTAGTTGATAGCTCAAAATTTTCATTAACTGTTCAAAGTTAATGACATCACCCCCTATTTTCTAGAAAGATGTAGATAGAGAGAAGTATAGGTTTTCCACTATCAAGACCAATAATACATTTTCAAAAAAATAAGGAACTTTGACGTGAGTTTTTCGGAAATTTTACGTTATATACAGAAAGCAGCTCTCCGACAGTGGTGGCGTCAAGAGGTGGTATAGGGGTACTAACCCCGAATCACACAATCTTTTTTCAAGACATTGCCTATACAATTTTTCTTAGAATTGATAAAATGCGATGTAAAAATGTAGGAAATCATACTTTTCTCTAAGGAAAATACACCTGGTGCTGAAAAGAGGCAAAATGGGTGCGGTCTCATGGGTGACGCCCATTATCCAACTTCTCAGCAGTATCTGGTCTTGTCACTGGTCTCTGAATTGCATCTTTTCCCATAGTTCGTAAAAGCAGTCTGCCTCCTTCGCGTGATAGCATTTGCAAGATATGCAGCGTGAGCATGAAGGGTAGAAGGTCATATAATGGGCGACTATATTGACACTATGAGGCGACTTTATGACTCGCGAAAAGCGTGTTCGTTTTGTCAACTTATTGGTGCAAAGGCACCGTTACTGGTTTCCACCCATTTAAGGGCTTCATAACACCCTTTCGCGTTGGCATGGGAATGGGGTGCTGGTTTTGCTAAACCACTACGTTGCTTCTTTGGAGGTCGGTAGATAGCAGCATGGAGAATAGCTCACTTTGTGTGTTTTTACGTTAGCAAATAGGTGCTGCAAGAAAACGTTTACTAGGATCAGACGCAACATAAAAGAGTCCAAATTCAGTGTCTGCTGCCAGCACATTAGATCAGGGCATGATTCTACCATAGCGCGGCGCTAATCTTGTAGTTTTCTGTCAAGCTAATCCATCACCCTAAATCAACCAGTGCATTCTTTATATGGCAATGTTTGTGATGCCATCTGCACGGATCTATTGTGAATTTTGATGGAAATGCCAAATGCAACTGTCTCTTAATACGATCCTAGGGAGTTTATGTCGTGAGATTGTCTCCTTTCTAGCTATGATGATTGTGAAAACATGTGGATAGGCCAAAAATAGTCATCGTGGAAATGGGTGCTTTGTTCATAAAATACGCTTTTCTCACTACGTGAAATTTTATTTCAAATTCAATGTTGTATTAAAAAAGGGATGAAGTCATTTAGAGAAATGAAGATTGCTAATGCCAATAATAAAACCTAAAAGTTTATGTTTGCATCGCTGTTAAAAGCATTCCTTTCATATATTTGTTTCACACAGCAACCACTTCAGAAGAAACAGCGTTCCAATATTCGTAAAAACCATAAGCTGTCCTTTTTTCCTTGATGAGGATTTAGTCAGGTCATGACAGAAGAGAAGCATTTTTCTTTTTTCCAATTCTGTAGCAACCTTTTTGATGACACTACCCTTGAAATATCGCCCCAGAAGAAATCATTAATAGGATTATCTCTTCGAGTTGATTATATTGTGATGGGATCCTAACGTTTACGCTACGTAAGCGGAAGCGATCTCTGATTGGCTGAAAGCCCGCGTCCCTAGCTACGTGGTGGTTACGGGATTTGGCCTAAGTGCTCATAAACAAACAGCAATTAATTATTTCGATTTCAAGTAGATTTGCGTTGCGTTTTACATTATTATAGAGATGCCAAAGTACTGCTGTGTGTTTGGTTGCAACTCAGACTCAGAAATTAATCCCGACTTGTCGTTTCACGAATTTCCAAGTGACAAGAAGCTTTCGAAAGCTTGGGAGATCAGAATTCGTCGTGCCGGGTTCGTTCCGAAAAAGTCGTCATTCGTGTGTGGCAAACATTTCGAAAGAACTGATTATTCTCAGCCAAGGTCTGATACACCAGCCCAATTCCGAAGGCTTAGATTAAAGAGAACTGCGATCCCAAGCTTGAATTTAAGGGGAAATGAGGGTGATGAACGAGAACCAAAGCGCCAATCTAGAGCTGCTCAGAAAGCGAGAGGTGAACATGAAGCCACCGTGGTTACAGGAGATATGGCCGGTGAGGGAGAAACATCCACAGACTTGGCTGAATATAGTAGCATGAGCAGCAGTGTTGATGTAACGATGCAATCATCCACTGAAGAATCCGTTTGCAATCTGGATCAGAACCTTGCCGGAGTAAAGGGTGATTTAAAAGAAGCCATGGCAGAAATTAAGGAACTCCAGGGCAAAGTTTTTTGTTATAAAAATTTGAATAATAAAGATATACAGAATTACACAACATTAACTAAGGTTGCTTTTGAAGAATTGAGTCAACTTTTGGCTCATTTCAAACCTTTGAACTATTGGTATGGATTTGAAGTCAAATCTTTAAGTCACTCTGATCAACTTCTGGTTTGCCTGATGAAGCTCAAGCTTGATGTCCCACTCTTTGATTTGGCTAAAAGATTTGGAGTTAGCAGAACAACCATAACCAATATATTCTATACATATATTCATTTACTACACGAGATTATCTTTGTAAAATTGATGCAAAATGTTCCATCCCTTGCCAAGAATCAGTCAAGTATGCCTGATTCTTTTGGTGACTTTTCAAACTGCCGCATCATTTTAGACTGTACAGAGTTCCGTTTGTCAGCCCCAAGGAAGGACCTGGAAGCAGCAAATCTTGTATACAGTAACTACAAGCATAACTTGACAGCAAAATATCTCATTGGTGTTGCTCCTAACGGGGCAATAACCTTTGTGAGTGAGGGATATCCCGGAAGCACCAGTGATAAAGTTGTCACCCAAGAATCTAATATTTTAAGCCATTTAAAGGTAAGGGGAAGAAGTCTCTACTTGTAACACCTAAACATGCATATAATATCAAATTTAAATTTTTTAACCAAATTGCAGTTTCTGCACAAAATCAACTGAAGTCCAGTTAGAATAGTTTCCTGTATTTGAATTTAAGTAAATGATGCACAACAAAATATATTTTTCCAAATGTATTTAGCGAATAATGCCAAATTGTTAATCCCCAAATGTAATATTTTGTTTCTAATCACTCAAAAATAAATAAAGTTGTAATGTTCTGAAAGCAGTCTTGAAATTTACTTTTGAGCTTTTTGTGTTTTTTAAATTTTGCAGGCTGGAGATCTTATACTGGCAGACAAGGGTTTTCTTCTCCATGATATACTGCCACAAGGAGTATCTCTCAATTTGCCTGCTTTTTTAAGTGGCAAAGAAAGATTCACCAAGGCTGAAGCCATACTTTCAAGAAAAATTTCAAGATCAAGAATCCATGTGGAGAGGGCAATTGAGCGTCTTCGAAATTTTAAAATATTGCAGGCTTTGGAGACCAATCAAAGACAACTTGCTAATAAAATTGTTCAAGTTTGTGCAGCCCTTGTTAATCTGCAGTCACCAGTTATAAGTGGAATATTTAAGTAGTGAGACACTAATAGCATATTGCCTGTTGCCAAATATGTAATTTTTTATATACTGCATAAGATCAAGGTTTGCCCTCCCCCCCCCCATTCATTGATACATGAACTGTATGTCAGACACCCTCCTCTTTTAATAAGACACTTATCTGGTCCAAAATACATCTTTTGACATTCAGTGGCATAGACTATGAAAACAGTGAAAAGTGATTTTTTGCATTCACATAGTAAATCATAGTGTAGCTAGTGATTAATAACAATAAACAACAGACAACAAACTGTTAATTCAGAACATATCAATTTAAAAAATTTCATTTTTTTTGTGCAAATAAAATATGAACCTGTTATTAATTTATTGATACATAGGTTGGTATTCAATAGAGTGGATGGGTTGATAGATAAAATTTGCCCAAAGTGAATAAAAGCTACTCCTCCCTATAACCTCTTGGTACACCTCTGTTGAATATGACATATCAAAATGAAACTGTTGAAGATATAAAATTTAATCAAATTTAGTGTATTTTTAAAACTACATCAACAAAACCCAACACAACAACTTCTTTCTTTTTGAACACCTTGAACCCCCTTGTTTAAAAAAAATTAGATCATTTATATTATTTAAAATGTTTCAATAATGTGAGTCAAGGATTTCCTCTTTCTGTGAATATCGCTGCTTTTTATCCTTAAAACATAGGAAAAGATTATTCAGTTAAATAAAATGATGGTAATAATGTGTTAAGATAAAAGTCACTTAGCAAAGGTATATTGTTTTTCTCCCAATTCTCATCTTTTGGGACAAAAACAACATGCATGTCTTTAGCTGTCCAAACAACAAAATGTGCCCATTTGGTACCAAGGACAGCCATTTCTGCTTGGACCTGATGCCAGTAATTATGTGAATTGTTGAGCATCAGGTCATGGGTTAAATAAAATTGTCTGAAATGGGATGGAGAAGTCATTTCCTTCTCGATCATCTCCTTGATTGAAGAGTCCTTGTATTTCCAAGGGCATTTAATTTCCAGGGCTCCTGGACCATCCATTTCTTTTGAAGAAATAATTCCATCTGGGGAACAACCAAGGTATCCACATTGGAAAAGATGCAGCCCAGTTGAAGTGACTCTATTCCCTGTTTTTTCTTCATACTGTTTGCATGCCACTTCTTCGTGCATTCCTCCCCACATTATGCTGTCCTTGTTCATCAAGTTGTACTCCCCTTTTAGAGTTTTGAAAAGCGATGGCGGGTACTGCTTATTAAATTCCATATTTCGCTTAACTGCTCCTAACACCAAGCCAAAGTTGCTACCAGTTAAGCGCAGTCTCCTATACTGGCCCCACAAATGACTCTTACTTTGTAGCTTTGTTGCTTCAGCAACCCATTGCTGCTGCTCTCTTGTCACTGCTACTTCTTTTACAAATAGCTCCTTATTGCTGGCAAAGAGAGGCAGCAGATCTTCTATCAGAGGTGGTCCTTTTGAATCCTTACTGGTGTCGGGTTCAGGCGAGAGAATCCATCGAAACGGACAGTCAACGTTCATGGTAACTAGTCTATCGTGGAAATTTTCTCGGTCAGCTTCCGTAAAGCTTCTGGAGGCAGCCTTGTAATGGGGCTTCGTCGGTGGGAAAAGGTCCGAAATGGTCTTCGTCTCTGATTCCCTCTTTGCTTTGCTTTTAGGCCTGTGCATCCATGAATTAGGCAAATCTGTTTTGGACATGCCCTTTTTGTTGACATAAATGGCTGTAGCAGCCATATGACTACATAACCACTGTCCTCTAGGACATTCACATTCTGCTGAGGTTATAAGCCCCTCTCCATTTACGCTTAGGCCTACTTTGTACGATCGATCTTTCATCGACGCGCGAACGACACCCTTTATAGCGAATCCATCAATTGTCACTTGTAGGACGAAACCTGAATGATATTTTGTTTCACCTTTACTCACAACATTTTGATCATCACGAAAGAAATTTACCAATCCCGACAGACTAATAACTTGGTTCGCCATAACTACAAATGCTGCTACTTGGTCGAGCAAGCGTATCCCGTAACCACCACGTAGCTAGGGACGCCGGCTATCAGCCAATCAGAGATCGCTTCCGCTTACGTAGCGTATACTTGATATCGTTATTCTGCCATCTTGTAGTATGCCTCCCCCGCTGAATGACGTCACAGTGAAAACGCATACCTTTATCTCTGAGTCAGTCTATTATAGAGCATACAAGCTTCATTGTTTATAATATCATTAATGATCTCTTTTTTTTCTAGGCGTTATGGATTCTAATGACTTTGTTGGCCTTGCAAGATCATGCCGGTACGTTTCAGTTTCGTTAATGTTGGATTAAAGTTACTCACCTTTTCCTTCTTAACAAAGAGAGGTTTATAGGGCTGTGTTCTAAATACGACAAAACTCCAGTCTAGAATTTCGGTATAATCTTCTGAAAGCTATCTCATTTGATTTAAGAAGATAAATTTTCGGATATCTTTTTAGAATTATTACTTTTTAGAATTTACAGAATTGTTAGGATAGGTAATACGTTTTAGCGGCAACTGCTTGATTTGGGAGTGGCTAAAAATATTGGCCAAAGCCATATTCCTAGGTCAACTAAACTACATATTTTCAGAAATTCCTAGTTTGTCTACTCGTTAGAAGACATTCGTATAAAACCAGGATGAGAGCCTGATTTCAAGTTATAACAACCTGATTTCACTTCCTCAAAATAGCAACTTCAGAATTTTATACCGTAACATTAGATAGCTTTAAAATATTTTAACCCCAGGGATGCAACCCAGATTTGGTTTTTAGTAGCAAGTTTCATCATTTTTTAACTGAAAAAGTAACGATAGTGTGGTAAATGAGATAGCTATGCTTTTAGTTAAGGTACACGTAAGATGTTTTTTACTTAAAATTTGGGGAAATGGGCAATTTATTTCCAAGCAACAAGACAGCCCTGTTCATTACCTATTCACTGCACATGGAAGGAGCCTTTTTCTTTTATTTCTGGAATAATTATTTCTGGAATTATCACCAAAAGGATTCTGTAGTAACTATGTCCTTTGCCCGTCCTGATATAGAGATTTGAAAAAGCTATTAGGAAAGTCCGTTATTATCATATCAAAATGAAAATTGCGAATTATATGCAGAGTTAGATTGGCAAAATGTATTGCAGAGGTTTGTGACAGCAACTAAAGAATTTCAGACAAAACATTTTTAACCTGGGAAAAATTGTAGACGGCCCTGCATGTAGAGCTAACTAGAATTTTTTCAAGCTTAGGAGCTAAGTTGCAAAAATGTTGAAGCAATTTAGGACAACATTTTCCCGCTTCTTGGAAGGCACAAGTCTTCATGTTCAAGCTGACAAAAAGAAAATTTATTTGTTGAGGAATTTTCTGATCGTTTTTGTCTAATTGGAACTGATTGGTTTGACTTTATTGCTTCGGTAGATTTTCATTCCACTGTTTATTGATTTTGTCTTGATGAGTTGACAAAACTAGAATTGAAGTAGATTTTCTTTCTAAAGAGGCAGTGGGTCTTAATCTAAGAAATACACTACAACCGAAATTTGAGAGTTGAGTGACAAGGAGAAAAAGAGTTACACTAAATTTTATAATTCCTTTATCAACGTTTAACGGTTATAAAAAACGCTAAGCAATCGAGGTTCAATGATTTCATTAAGAATGAAACCAACACACCAGCAAAGAAACATTGAAGTATTTTGTGATTTTCCTAAATTGTTAGCGGATTCAATGAGGTTTATTTTATTTCGGAGAAAAACGTAACGCCTTGAAGTTTGAAGTTTTTTGTCTTAAATTCGGTTCCTTTTAAACTTGTTCAACAAAAAGCCATTCAGAAATCTTCAAAGGTTAAAAAAATATTTAGTGTTTTGCAGATCAAAAGATTCTTCTCAAAAAAGACATTGCGGGTTTCAGAACAGTGTTTGAAAATATATCTACAGTTTTTTAAATTCAAGACGGTTTCTCCATTGTCAAAGATAGTCAATTCAAGTTTTAAGGTGATTATTTACAGTAAAGGTGAAAGGATTTTTACAAGATTTCATTACGCAGTTCAAATAAGCTATGTGAAGATTTTTCCGTCGAAGATTGAATTTATAGATTATATTCGCAGAGGGATTCAGATAATGTTTTAAAATTGAATATTTGAAGGAAATATAGAATAGCGTTTCATAAACCCAAAACGGGCTTTGAAGTTTCAAAAATAGTGAATTTTTATTCATGTATGTATGTATGTTTATGTATGTATGTGTATGTATACGCAACATGAAAATAAAAGATTCAGCAGAAACATTTTGGCAGAGGCGATGCCATTAGGCATGAGGATGCATTGTAGGATCGAATCACCAAAACGCGGTTCACTCATTTGCCGCAATCACTTTCGAGCCTCGATGTCGATGCTGTTAGCCTTCCTCGTCTTAATATCGTCTTCATTTGGGGCAGCCAGTTTCATGTGCCAAGCTCTACACATCAGCGTTTGTTCGTTTCTTGATTTTACTATTGCGAGATGCCAAATGCTTGAAACTTTTGGTTCTCCGGACAGCTTAGTATCGAGCTGTTTATGTTTATTATTTAGTGCTTCTAAATATAGTTTCAAGTCCCTTTCTCTAATTGCAAGAAAATCTGTCTTAAAAATCCTCTCTATCTGGTTTTCTTATCACTGTGGGCACCAAGGGTCGGTTCGACCTACACTGAAAATCGAGTAACAATTCAAGCATACATCAATCCTTTACCTAAACACTGTTAATCTTTTGATAAGGACCATCTGCTTTTTGCGCGCAGGCTTTTCACGGACCGTTTTGAAAAATCCTGAAGCTGCGTCAATTAGAGAAGCGATTCGGCTCAAAGACATGTCCCATTTTCATTATGTGCGGTTCACAAATTATGCGCTAATGGCTCATATCCTTTTATCAGACCATTTATTTCTAACGTCTTTAGTGTAGGCAAGCCCATTGTGTTTCTTATTGCTTCTTCAGAGTCCAGACAACATTACGGTTTCACGGCTGCTAGCCGGAGGGGGGCTAATTCATAGAGTAGTAAGAGTATATAAAATAAGCGGAATTTACTGTTGTGCTTGAACTTTTCGTTTTTCCTGACAAAGCGTAAAGACCAAAGCATACTTAAATTCCATTTCAAAGAAAAATTTGTTCAAAATGTACTTGGGAAATTTTGTGAAAGGCAAATGGGGAAAAAATTTAATCTGGAGGAAAGTTGAGGTGTTTTCTAATTTCTCACTATTTTTACTGACACCTGGACACTCTTGACTCTATTTGTTTAATTTTTTTTTATTTGCTGACTCTCCTGTTATATATATCCCATGACTTTCTTTAATAAGCGAACGCTAAAGCCTTCCTCTCTAGCCACATGTAATATTTCATTTTCTTTTATCGCAAATAGACCTCCTGTCTTCAGTACTGTACCGTCCCTTTCCTAGGATCTGCAGAAAGCGCGATCAACCGCGGGTAATCCCTTTTCAGGCCCATATCCTTGGGCTGTTTTGTCATGTTGCGGCCGAGTTAATGCTCATTAATTAACAATTTTGTATGAGGTTTATATTCGTTTGTTACTATCCCAGACTTGCCTTAGTTATCTGGTTTTTTTAAAAAGCAAACGGCGAGATGTTTATCAACCCAATCGTCTGGCCTTCTCCCCCCCCCCACCCCTTCATTTTCGAACTCTAGGTTATGATAACCCGATGCTTTTCAGAGGGATCGCTCAAATTGCTGGCTTTCCAGATTTGGCGGATTTCAAGAAATGAATCAATTCATCCCCATTTCGGTTAATATAAAGAACCTTTTTCAATATCGGATTTTTGTTTCCACGTTGTGGTTACATTTAACCAACTGTTTGCACAAAAGAATAATTTCGAAATAATGCTCATTACGCGTAACATTGTTGTTTTGCAACCTCTTTTGCATTTTATCTCTGACCTGTTCATCATCGTTGCTATTTTCGATGAGGTCAAGCTTTGCTACTCCGCTTCGATTTTCCCATGAAAGGCTGACGCTGTGACGCAAACACGAGCAAGCCTTGCACATAAATCGCAAGTGGCGTTACACTACACTCGGTGACTGTGTATCGGCGCAGAGCCCTGAATGCGGCAAAGGCAAGAAGCCATTCAACGTACAGGGCAACAGGTGAAATTGTCAAGAGCGCCGAGTACGGGAACCTGCTTGGTAACAGCGGCATTTTCTGTTGCGCGGCAAGTGATACTGACGTGTTAAGCACTCCGCGCGACCTCGATACAAATGCAGCTATCTGGAATACTCAATATTTTCTCTCTCTTCGCAGCTTTTGCAGTTTGTGGTGGAAATTACGCTGGGGCTCAGAGTGGCAATCTGAGCACGCCGAACTATCCGTTGAATTACCCAGACAGTTCCAATTGCGTCTGGATAATACACTGTCCGTATTATCATTACGTGACTGTATCATTACCTAAAGTAAGCATCGAATTCGACAAAACCTGTGCATTTGATTACCTCGTATTTTTCGATGGACCGTCAACCGATGGCAGTACACTCAACCCACAAAAGTCGGGTGTAGATCTGACAAAACCTAGAGTATGCGGAGAAGGGTCTGATTTGCACTGGAAATCAAGTGGACACAGTATTACTGCAAAATTCGTTAGTGATGATAGCACGAGTGCAAAGGGGTTTTCTGGCACCTGGAGTTGTGTTCCCAAGAGCTGTAAGTAGTTACGTCTTTTGAAAGTTAAAGCCGTTTCATTTCAGATTTATCCCATTTTGTTTTGTTGTTGATAACTGGTCTCAACCACTTTTACAGTATCCTTTGCTCACTTAGTTCAAGTTTACCGGAAATGATTCCCAGGATAAAGTTTTGTAAACGTGATAGAACATTGATTTTATGTTTACTTTGAAAAGGTCTTGGATTTTTCTGTTTGTTGAAGGAGTATTTTAATACTCCAACGTAGACTCCAACAACCAAGTAAAGTTAAAGCTTGTTTTGATCACCTAAAATTTCTACCGGTGTACAAGCTCAATGCTCAATCGTGTTATAAGAGTCGTTTGAATTACTCGTTTGGTAATAAAATTTCTATCAACTGATCGTCAATAAACTAACCTTGAACGCCAGGTGCCTGTTTAGTGTTTTTCTCAATTCTTTGAAACGCTGACTTTCAAGCCAACTTTACCCATTTTATATTGCAAAATGGTTGTTTGCTGCAGGAGCTGGGCACATATTCGCGCGAAGTTGTGTTTAAACCGGCATGCATAATGTTGAACTTCAAAAAGAATTAAGATTAAACTTTACTGATTCACATTGCTAGGTTTTAGGGCTTAGATTCTGCGATAAACGTCTAACTTTTGGCTTGAATTTATTTTCAGTCAATTTAGCACCCGAAACTGCTTCATGGGTGTTGCTTTTGAGTCGCTAAAAGGGGTCTTTGGGAGCCTTTTCAATTGTTTTTAAAAACGAATTTTTCTTTAATCGAAAAAACGCCCCCGCTTTAAAAATTTATCCGAGTTCAACTTGGATATATGGATCAAATGGAACTTTCTCAGCGGTAAAAGCGAGGATACAGTGGGATGTGAAGAGCTTCTGGATAAAAGCTCTGTTGCAACCGATGGATACAAACATTATCCTAGACTGATCCAAGATTTACCCATGAATTGGCGCATTTGTGTTTTGTTTGCGCGTCACTGATTCGTGGTGGCGAACCTTAGAACTCTAATCACGACATTGTTGTGACTGTACGTTGTTGCATCTGCATCATCGGCTTTCGGCTGGGTTATTTCCACTTTCGAATCATTACACAAGCTGTTCCTGTTCATTTTTCATTGCCAAAATAATTTGTTCACTGAATTGTAGAAAAGTTGGAGACGATTCAATTCATAGTTGATACATAGAGGACATCTTCAGTATTTAAGTCCAATTTTATATAGTCACAATAAAGGAACACGACATAACACACACTATTTACTGGTTGGAGCCTTTTTCGCCAAATCCCTGCACACCAGTGTTTGATGGAAACTTTGCTTTTTGCAACTAATCGTTTGAAAATACTACAGAATATATCAGCAAGGAAACAACATGCCTCGGTGATAATTTCTTAATAGTTGACATAATTCCAAATATTACATTTGAAAACCCAAGAAATCGTGTATTTCAGCAAACCTAGACCAATCCCGCACAAGCCTATTCTTCTAACTAACTTGCTTCCTTTTTTAAACTATACATGCTTCAGTGCCCAACGAAAGTTTCTTTATTGTCACATTTTGAGGGCGGAATGCTAGAATCCTTACTCTAATTCGATCTCCAAATCCTCACCCAGTCGTATGGAGATGATTTTTAAGTTTTTTTTGGTATCTATATCCTTGAATTTACCATCAAATCCAGTCCTGATTTCGTGTGCCATATTAGGTTTAATCGCTTTATGTGTGATATTGTTGCGTCCTCAACCTGATTAGAAAATTCTATTAAGAAGCGATTTTTGGATTAAAAACTCTCATGGTTTTCTAAGCCATTCATATCCCTGAAAGTCTTTCTGCTCCCTAGATATACCTCTGAGTTCTCTTCAATCATCAAAACCTTGTTTTTGGTATTAATATGTTTGCTAGTTGTTTATGTAAGCTTTTCCTCGCAATGTCTTCTTAGTGTATTTTGCTATCTTCTATTTCCACACCAAAACAATCAGCACATACTTTGGCGCTTCACACATAATGAAACAGCATTACCAAACAGCATTTTTTGCTTAAAAGTGATTTGTACTAAACATTTGACACCACCTAATAAGTAGGAAATTAAAAAAGACCAATTAAATGACTGCATTATTTAACGGCATTTGCTGCAGTAGCAGATCTTTAAACTGGCTTAATTCTCTGGATCATCTGCCAGAATCCAATGCAAGCAAAACGTACTTTTAATAGCCTTGCTTTCTACCTGTGCCTGTTATTAATTTTCTTAAACTGAAATAAACACCTGGATAAACACAATTAGATTCTTCAATTTTTGAAATGAATAAAATAGACTCAATAATAAGAATTGTTTCAGAAAAGTTGCCACCAGCTCTTCGGCTTAGGAAAATTTGATATTTCGATTGTTAGTGTTGTGCTTGGAAATCAAAAGTATTAATATACACCCGTTGATTGTAGTATATTATACATTTAGTTTGCCTGTTGTGACTTTACAAATCAAAACAATGCGATTATCTCCAGCTCTCACTTTATTGCCTTCAAGGTAACCTTATTGCAGAGAAAATAAAAGCCATACACCGCAAAGTTCTATTTTCACTGTTAATTTTAATCTGTTGCAATAAGATTTCTTACAGAAATTAGAAAGAATTTCGTTTTTATGATTATGGATGAGAAGACATTTGCCTTTTGAATTTTCTTATCATCCTTGCCATAGCAAAGATCGTTTAGCATGCGGGTGATAGTGGGAACCCTTTGAACAGTGGAACGGAACCTTGAAATTATGGCAACATTTCTGCTATATTCCTATTTCTCTGCTCTATTAGCAATCACCGAAAGAAAGGGGCCTACAGAAGCAATCTATATTTGCAGCATGACTTGGGCTTGTTTCATTCAATTCTCTTTTATAACGTATTTTGTAACTTCCAGACTTATAATTACTGCAAAAAGCCCAGCCCATAACCTTGGTTTCACCTAGTTTTAAAGTGTACCAAATATCGTAGCTCTGATGCAACGTAAGATGATGGCTCCTACCAATACATCTTTTGACAGAAATCGAGTTAGCCCTATTATGTATAAAAAGATTGTAAGCGAAGATTTATCTGACTGTGTGCTTCCTGCTTTCCTAGTGCCTCCAACAACAGTCAACACAAAGAAGCACACAACCTCTTCATCGCAATCGCACGTGATCAAAACCTCAATGCACACCAAGCAAGTGTCCCAAAAGAACACCTTGACTGAGGCAACTTCGCACAAATCGAATTCAATCTCAACCGTTCGTGGAACTGGAGAACACACAGTGACGAAAAATCGCGTGAAGTCAAAGCAAATAGACACTACCTACGTCATCACGGGTAAGATTGTTTTATATAATTCATTTTTTGAATGATTTGAATGTCTGATACTTCTGAATGATCTAGATAATCATGTAACAGAAAAAATCATTCTTTGAAAGACTCTTATTATCTAAAGAACCGCGCCGACTTTTCCTGGCTTTTCTTTTATCAATTTTAGGCAATTTATTTTGTTATCAACCGCTCATAAACTTCGAGGGTTTTCCAATTTTAGCAGCTGATGATCTTCAATCTGGCCATTTTCACATAACCGATTAATTCTTAAATCACACGAAAAGATTTTTATTATTTTGTAAACATGATCTTGGAAGGGAAGGGTAAACATGTTGATTCCTTGGGTATTGGCTAAGCTGATTCTCCCGCGATCTTTAACCCCAGTGTTTTCTAATCTCTAGTAAGCCGTTGTTTCGGTTCATGGTTTGGAAACCTTTGCATTCTTCGGAGAACTGTCTCACGGTGATAAGTAGATATACGGCTGAACATGTCAGATAACGAAGACCTCGAATATTGCTTTTGAAATGCTGTTTAAATTGTCACTTAGTTAACTTCCTGATTAGCAAAAGGATGGCGATTGAGAGAGGCAAAACGTTTTTCAATAGTGATGAATGTTAATAAGTTTCTCATTTCAAATTTATTTTTGTGTTTCTTGGCTACTGGTGCACGAAGAGAACACCCCCTGTTGGGAAGGCCTCTTTCCGATTCTCTTTAATTGCGCAAGTGAAAAGCGTATTCGTTGAAGTGTTCTAAGTACAAATTTATAAGTATGGTTCTTTTTTCCTGTTTTGTGTGCAGAACTAAAGACATAGTAGTGGGTCTCCTGTTCTTTTCATCATGCTTATTCATTTTTCATCATTTTTATAGTTGCTCCAACTGCAAAACCGGCCTACCAACATATTTATTGCTACCATGATCTTTACAAGAGCATTGAGTGGCGGAAAACCAGAGCAGGGACAACTTCCAAGCAGTTTTGCCCTTCTGGGAGCACAGGTATGGTATTGGCCCCTTTGCTACCAAATAGTTCTAGTCGGCCATCTCGGAGTATTAAAAAGTATTTAAAAGCAAATGTATTTCTTAGGGAACATGTTGTACACTAAATTCCAAGGTTTAAAAGTTGGATTCAGAAAGACAATTAATTGACCTTGGGTAATTAGCCATTAATTTGAAGATTTGTAAAATGATTCAAGAAGCTTGGCGTGATTAAAGTTTTAGTCGTGTTAATCTTTGCAATGGCCTTTCTCATTCGTAGAAGAACCCCACCCTTGACCCCTTCTTGATCTGTCGAAGAACGAGCAGTTAATTCGCATTGCAACTCCAAGAAAAATCCCAATTTTAGTTGGAGATAAGTAGGACAGCATCTCTATTGGAGATAAGTATCTCCAGAACGAAATATGATTCGCCAAGTTCAAAATGGTAAATCGCTAAAAAGCAAAAATGTCCACGTATATGAGAGTGTTAATGTTGATAACGCCCCTTTAAAACGTATTTGAATCAAACTAAAAACTGAAACGCCCCTTGCGCAGAGGCACCTGCAGTGGTTTTTGAGGATTTTAGATATAATCTTTCCAACTCGAGTTGAAATGCTGTAAACAGGTGTTGATAAAGAACCCTTGTTAGCCTTGTGAGCATCTCAGGTTTTGGTGGCTTGTTTCATCAATAATAGATCAGAAACATCCCAATGCATTATACAATGAATTTTAATCAATTTGTATTTCGCCACGCTGTGCTAAATAAATGATATCTAAGTCAAGTGTATGCTCCTTGTCCTGTCTCATCTGAGACAATGGAAATCCCCACAAGAGACAAAATAAAGCTCTTTGTGACGAAGCTCTTATGTGCGCCCCACAATAGTCACGTCACTGTGTTGCAATTGAAGGCCGATATGACTGTTACGCAATTATCTTAGTTTGTTTACCATTGATAAGAAATATCTTAAATGATGACCATACATTATTCATTACAATGACCGTGCTTATTGTGGTCTTCCATTATAGTTTCAGCCTTTGTCTTCAACATTTTCCCAAGGTTGTCGTTGCCATTTCTGATTTTCATCATCAACTGCAAACTGCTCAGCTTCTGTCTTCTCTATGTGTCTATTCCCAAGCCCCTAAAGTTTTCATTTTCCCCCCTCTCCGCCCCCTTTTTTTACATATAGTCTTGCATGTAGTGCTGTTTAGACGGTTAACGATTTTTTTGATGCACGGGGGGAAAAGTAGCAGAAATCTACATGGCTTGTAGTTATGATTTAACTCAAAAATAAACTTTTGCTGGTAAAAAACCTTTGATATTCGAATTTTTTGTTCTTTCGCAGGATTTGCCACAAGGCAGTGCTTGCTTGTGAGCAGCTCAAGGGCCGTTTGGTCAAACTTCATAGACACATCCGCATGCATTTCTGTCTGGGTGAATCTGATCGAATCAGAGGTAAATTCCCTTTCTAATGGTTATTTTTTATTTATATTATCAATATCGTCGTATCCCAAACCTTTTTGTAACCCCTCAACGCATTTCAGTTGTTGCATTTCTCTGACAATTCCCATAGATTTTTTGCTCAGTGACAATCAATGGTGGTCCTCCCTCTAAATAGACCTTCTGTGTTACGAAGTTTAAGTTTAGAGCTGCTTTGTCTCCCTTTTTCACGTACCTGTGTTATTGCTAGATAATCTTTTGATATTATCAATATATACAAATTATTGTTCCATGTATTTGTAAAAACTTCCTGCATTTAACTTTCCTCTCGACTTCTGAATCATCAGTTAGTTTTGAAAAGCGCAAAAACAATCCGGGGCTGTTTTTTTTGTTATCGACGACTGATATCTCTGTGGGAATCAATCTAGTAAAAGTAGTCATCTGCTCAATATATTAAGGTATCGTCTTAATAGTAAAATCGATCACGTGGCTAAACACCCTGTATCTTGACGTCGAAATGATGAAACTTTTCTCTTTAAGGTTCAAAATCCTAGCATTGAGGCTGCTGCAAGCACCGGCGAAATCTTGTCAAAAGCATCCAGTAAAAGCCTCTACGGAGGAGACCTTATCAAGATAAGTAACCAGCTGAAAGACTTGGCCAAAAAAGCGTTTACCCTTGATCTTAAAAATCCGCAGATTGACCAAGCCTCTAAGCTGAATCAAGTAAGTGTGGGATTTTTTAACCTTAGTGATGGATTGGAAACAGACGCGTGTTTTTGGTATGCGTTTGATTAATGAGACAATCGCAACCCAATACAGTGCTTGTTGCCAAGCCAATTGCAATACCTATACCTAGATACTTGCGGAGAAAGATTTTGTAATTATGTCGAAGAAGTGCTATTTGCTTGTGGACGGAATTGTCTAATCGCGTAGGCTTTCCCTGGTTCTCTGCGTATTTTTTTCTTGATACTATTTTAAGATCACATCCAAATAGCAACCCATTGGTAAATTATTGGTAAACGTACAGTAAGCGCTATTTGTGAGCTTTCCGGTGCAGACCCGTGTCTTTTAGTGAAACATTGCGATTTTTATCAATTTTACTTGCATTTTTATTTCGGTTTTTATGATTTGCTAAACAGTTATTTCAAATATTTAAAGGAATTCATGGGCATTGGGAATAATCTACTGGACAGCAATGCTTGGAATGGTTTAAACCAGGTGTGAATATAAAAAGTTTTTTTGGATTTTCTATCCTCGACTTCAAAGGAAGGAAGTGATTTTAGGTCTCCTGGATTCCTAAGAAATACCATGTTAGTTTTCCTTTGTTCCAGGAAAACTACATATGGCATTTTTGAATTAATTACCTCAAAAGTTGTCTTTTTCCCCAGAAAACACACATTTGTTTGTGAAGGGAAAATCTTAGTTTGAAAACATAGCTCGTTGACGGAAATTACTGAGCGGAAGCATACAACTCGTATATTTTGTTTATCTTTAAATTTTGTTTTGCTGTGTCAATCTTTATAAAAATGAATCGGTTCTTCTGTCATGAGTCCGAAATAAGTTTCCACGTGTTGCCAAAGTGAGGGAATGTTTTGTAGTAGTATTTGTTGTCTCGAATTTCTATGCTTTAATTCTCTCAGCGCCACAGGGAACCGCATTAAAAACATCCAGTTGTTTCTTTCCTGAAATATTCAGAAATCTTCAAAATAGTTGACTGTTACGCCGACCAGAAGCTTTTTGATACCGCTCGACATAGAGTTATCAGGATTTTTCATTGAAAGAGCCTTTGCTTTGTTTACGTCCTGTCATCTAGAATGTCAATATTCTTGTTAAGCAAAAGTACAGGTGCTCCTGCGTAGTCACACGGCCCCATAAATCATGTATGATCCTATGTCAAATCCGGGATTCGATATCATTTGAATGAGAAACTTTATTGGTTCTTAATAAGCAACCAGACGCCTTGTTTTGTTACGGCATTTTTATTCGAATTAAGAATTCTTAGGCCGCGGGTTTCTCTTAAATGCGGTTAGTCCTGCCTGTAGCCATCTTTTGTAATCCTCTGCAATTTTCTAAGATTTCGCCCTGCGATGAAAAGCAATAAGGCAGTCTTCTTTGTTCACTACACGAAATTGAATTTCCAAAGCTGTATAATACCGTGTACTTTTAGACAGAATTAGTAGCGTATACCCTCGTTGTAAATATGTCGGGGCTGCAATCCGATTAGAGACAAACAACAAAGCACTACTTTTGACCCGCCCGACTTGCTTAGCCATTTTAACATCAGCCTCGGCTGTTTTTCTCATCGCCAACCCTTTCCGTTAAGAATCAAAATAGTATTTCATTTAACCTTTATCTAGGAAAGGAATTATCAAGAAACCTGCGTCTGGTTTATAGCTTCTATAAGACAACTGACCTGGTGTAATATTTTCTTTGCAGAACGGCATAGCTTCTTTTCAGTGTTAAATTGCAGAGATATGCAAAATAGTATCATTTCATTTAAGACTTTGTTTGGTTCTGCGAAATTCTATTTTCTGGAACATTGGAAGCAGGGTACATGTTTAAATTAGAGAGCGGGCTGTTAAAATACAAACGGAACGTATGTAGGTTATTTTTGAATGTGTTGTCGGCATCTGTTGACTATTGAGCCATCTTTTATTGCAATAATCTGCAAATTATCTAGACTAATACTTGTGCGTTTGTGCCCAGCATTAAAAGAAACAGCTGATCGCAAATAGAAGTTTTCGGAAAGAAAGCAAAATATTTATCATGTCTAATATGTTAATCTTTTTGGTCTCTGTACTCATTGTTCGAATAAACACATTGCCGCTCTGTCTCCGAACTGATCTTGTAACAGTGTTAGTTGTCCTGCTTACACTTTATCTTCTCTTTGTGAATTGCAGAAGCGCCGATCGAGGACTGCGTCGGACCTTCTGAAAAATCTTGAGGATGCTGCTTTGGCTATAATCAAAGCTCTCGGCCAAAGCCATCAAAATTTCAAGCGCCCCCTGGACGCAATAACACCCAATATTGGTAATTCAATCAATTTTGTCTTTTCTAAATTTACAGTCCTGCAAGATTTACACTTTTTTCAATTTCCTATTTATGTTGCCTGGATTATGTCCTCTTACCTGTTGAGTAAAATTTCGACCAATGTCCAAAGCCAACTTGTGGTTTAGTGAAATTTCCTAATCCGTTTAGAGTACTAGATTAAAAAATGATACATCAAGAAAATGTAGATTAGATACAGAAGAAGATAATTTCGCTCATTTCAAGCATCGCTAGCAAGTATCGTCAAAACGACACTTAACATAGAAGCAGGCTGAGGTTCATGGCCGTAGAAGTTTGCATTTCTGTAATGCTTTAGCCTAATTCCACTTGAATGCCCAGAGTACTACATTTGATGGCCTAACTGTAACGAGCACGTGGCAAATTTCACGCTTGGTCTTTACCTTATTTGTGTCTCAACCGATTGCACTGTCTCTTTTTAGTGTCAACTTCATCAGTAATCGATGTTGATGGCGATGGAGAAGTTAGTCTTATTTCAGAGGATCTGAAGAGGAATGCCTCATTAGCAAACAAAGACTGGAAGTCTATTGGTCAAGTTGAAATACCGCGATCAACGATTAGGGATGTTGCAGGTAACAATTTTGCATCTCTGTCTTTTTCCTGGCCTTGTGACTGTAGTTTTTGAAAGTCAAGGATAAGAACAAAATTTTTCTAAAAAAAACCAACTTAACATTGCGGTATGTTCAGGCTTGAATTTTATCATTATGAATTTTCGGATAACATAAATGCGTCTTGTTTCTTTGGTAATTTTGTTTTTCGAAACTGACCTCCTTTTATACACGTGTTTCAAAGTTTCGACACGAGAATAAAAATATCCTTTCTTTTTGAGGTTGATAGGTTTCCTGGAATATCCTTGTTTTTTTGTTTAGATATTCATGTTTACTTCAATGTTCATCTTCGGTCCTAGGTTCAGAGAAAAAGTGCTTTGCTGCATGTGTAATTGCAAGAAATGCTGGAAAACTTCTGCCAGTTTCGAAAAAGTAAGCTTCAAAATTCTATGGAGCATATCTTACGTCCTAATGTATGGATAGTCTTTGTTTTATAACTTCTTTGCTTTATTGCTCGTTTTCTTCCCTTATGAGTAATATAGTTTCTTCTCCAATGGAGACTAACCTTGGAAAAATTTCTGTCTTGGATGTCGTTGTCTCCTTTGTATCAGAGAGTATGTATCACAAATGTTGATCGTTTTGTTTCTTTTATCCAGCAAAGACAGCATTAATACTGATGGATCATCTTCCCAGTTCGTGAACACCTTTGTCACTGGGCTCGCCCTTTCTCCAAAGCCAAAACGGCCGTTTCCTGCCCCTGTTACTATAGTGACAAAATCATTGACCGTGAGTACTTTAGGGTTGCTTTGCAGTTTAGGTTAATTTTCATTCTTTAGAAATTTTCCACAAACATTTTATTTTAAACACCTTTTTCGTTTTAAGTTTACATACATCTTTGCATTCTGCCTGTATACATACTCTAACAATAATACGTAAAGCTCAGTTATTTTATACTCAACGATTAACGAATGTAAAAATCCACTGTAAAACCTCTTTCCATCATAAGTCTCAAGTTTCCAATACCTTCTCTCTTCTCATGCTATACAGCTTTGACTAAACTTGTTTTTTAAATCTCTGTGGCAACCTAGTTATTACTTACTATCCTGTTCATATCCGATCGTTTTTCTCGTAGGAGATAAATCCAAAGAAATCGGAGGCTGCGTGTTCATACTGGAACAGCAATTCCAGGTATGAAAATTTATTGACATTAAGTAGTTTACGTCTTAGAAAGGACCACAAATGCATTCTCTGTTCTTCACAGGTTACGTAGATGCCTAAGTTGAGAGTAGTGATGTGGCTAGACGTATTGACACCGTCCTGCTTAACGATGCGATAAATCTTCTTTTTCTTTTAGCATTTATTCTTATATTAGGTTTTTTCCGTAACAGTTATTGATCTCGCAGTGTTTTAGCTCTCTGTCTCATGGGATATTTAATATTCATTCTAACTATATATTCATTCTAAGTATGAATTCTTCCTTCAAGCGCCCTTACTTGGTCACAGACGGGTGTCACGACGGTAAAGGTCACTGTCAAAGAAACAATATGCCAAACAAACCATTTTACAAATTCGCAGTGTTAATGAAAACAGGGACTGGTGACTATGGGGTATGTTACTTGCCTTACTCGTTTGCACCTTACGCGTTTGCACCGTATACATCTTAAAGAAACCCTTAATATGTCTTTTAAAGCAAACAAATGTCATCATTTGCCATCTTTGGTTTGTTCTTACCACTCACTATGTGTTCTGATTGTTGATAAAATCTTTTTTCTCGCCTAGTCTCGGCATCGGTTCGCATTGATGATCATTACCCAAGTCGGTATTGGAATCAGCCTGCTCTGTTTGATACTCGCCTTCAGCATCTTCGTTAACTGCAAGTGAGTCCAACTGAAAACTTCGCAATCATTTTTCATGTACACACTGATCAGCTTCTTTTCCATAGAAGTCTATTGACGCTCTAGTACCTCATGTTAATATACTCAAACCGTTATTTCCAGGTCGTTGACATCAGTTAGAAATACGATTCACAAGAATTTGTGCGTGGCACTGTCGTTTGCTTACGTCGTTTTCGTGGTTGGAATTTCAAGAACCGAAAACAAGGTGTGTTTGAACCCCTGCCAATTCAAAATTGGTTTAAAATGTTGTTTTGTTACAATCTTTGCTTTTTCATACATTACATATTTTTAGAAAAGCACATATTTAGACATCTTTAGGTCTTTCCTGGTAACATTTGTTATGTATTAAGTAATTAGTTATGTAAGAATGGTTTCATCTTTCTTAGTGACCTTATATTTTTAGATTTTTGTAGTTTATCAACAAAGGAAGCAGCTTTAAAGTCTTTTGAGAATTAACAAAAACAGGGTAAACATTTTCTGTGCAGTGTGGACCTTCTTATTTGCTTTCTATCAAATATTCCTGCTCTCATTCCTTTTCTTATAAACTTTCATTTGATTGCAGATCGTTTGTACTGTGTTTGCCACGCTGCTCTACTACTTCCTACTTGTCGCATTCCTCTGGATGTTGATGGAGGGCATCCAGCTTTATATTCTGCTTGTGCAAATATTTCCAAGAGGAGAGGGCTTCAAAAAGCAATATTATGTTGTCTGTTGGGGTAAGTCTATTTCGTTTGTCCATTCTGCCTAGTCTTGCATTTTATTATTGTAAATAGTTAAGTTTTCTCACGGCTATCTCACTTATATATCTATCTCATTTATGGATAAGTTAGCATGAATGAAGATTGCATAGTTAAGAGAAGAAGACCTAAAGTTAATGCTTGTGAGAATAACCTGAATGTCCGATTCGTGTTCTTCCTTTAAATTTATTGGCCCAATTGACTAACACAGGCTCATGAGCAGTTCACAATGTTTCATCCATCGCTTTGATGTTAATTTCTTAGATCATTGGCAAATCGTTTACCAGAAAAATGATGGTTATAGTTAAAGTGGTTTTCGAAATCACACCCATAAAATAACTTCGTGAGATGGATCAGATGATTTCAAACAATAGTTTCAAGACAATTTACTTTCTGCAAATTCTAACGAATTATAAAGATGCTCCTGCTATGTCATATTCCCTAACTGTATCGATGTTTTGCTATATTTTATTTTTATTTTTCAAATTGCAACAATTTTTTGCATAGAATGGAAAATGATCAATAATTATCAATCAATATTTTCACAGGTTTTCCAGCCGTCCTTTCAGTCGTTCTTTGTGGCTCACATCCCCACGGATTTGGGAATGATAATTTGTAAGTTTAAATTTATCTCTAAGACAGCTTGATAAATCGCCTTAATCTTGTGCTATGATCTTATTTTCACCTAAAACACTGTGGATCTCCTTTTTTTAATTGCCGCTCTTTGTACACGCTTTTATTTTTACATTTCTGTCTTGTGATGCTGTTTAATAGAACAAATCAGCTCATTGTGCCAATCGTTCGTAATACTATGTTAAAAACAATTTTCTCCTTTGCAGCTGCTGGTTGTCGGCCAAGGACAATTTTATCTGGGCATTTGTCGTCCCAGTTCTCATCGTTATTGCGGTTAGTGTTCGATTGTATGTCTTTATAAGAAACGTTTTTTATTCGAATCTTCACAGCTGACAACAGCAACCAGAGTTTCATTCCAATCGTAAATTACGTCACGTTTAACTGCGAGCTCAGCTCTAACCAAGGTTATCATAAATCTACTTGCCCATGGCTTTGCACTGAGTGGTGTGTTTTACCTTCTTTTTTGGCTGTCTTTCAGGAGACAAATTTTCAAACCATCTTTTAGGTTTAGAATTCGGGGAATTATAGACTAAACTTAACTAAAAGCTATCAAAGATTTGCTGTTTTGTAAATCTATAGAAATGTGTATCTTGCTAGCACGAAAAATATATTGCTATTTATTGTGTGACGAATTGACTCAACCACCGTAACTTCACAATTATACTACTTCATCGCTAACAGAAGTAAATATATACTTGTAAAATGCCTGTGTAAAATGAAATGTGACTGTCTTCGCAGGTGAACAGTGTTTTCCTGTTCATGACCTTCAAAACAATAATAAGGAATTCGTCAATTGTTACCAGAGAGCAAGAAATGCGACGAACCATCGACAAAATTGGGTATGTTTGACGAACTTCACAATGTTGTAGATTGTTAGACTATCAAATCCTTCTTGTCAGTTTTCAGCCAGAGTTTACGTTGGCCTGTTTCATGTAACTGCTTTCCAACAGAGAAAATGTCAAGTAAAAATATAGTAAGGCAAAACATTCTCTTAAAATGTTTCCTGATTTTAAAGTTGAATAGACGATGCACTTGTGAAGTCTACAAATATATTTATCTTTGGTAGATTAAGCGTCTGTACACTACCTTTCTCATGTTGCTTATTGCCTTAAGACTCCCGAGCAAGGTATTTGCAGAAATATCGATTTGTAAGTGCACTTAATGAAAATAATCCTAAATATCAAGCAAATATTCAAGTTTTTTTAACGTTCGGTTGATATGGAAGCATTGATGCTGTAATGGCTAACTAACTGGTAATATATCACTTTTAAGATACTGGGCCAAAGGATCAATCGGTCTCGTTCCTCTACTTGGTGTTACTTGGTTATTTGGCGTATTGTACATCAACGACGACACTGTCATAATGGCCTATTTATTCACGTTTTTCAACGCTTTCCAGGTAGGCTTTTCAGCTTTGTTTGAGTTCATTTCCACCCTGAATAAAGATTATTTTCCCAAAGTCAAGGTCAATCTCCAGTTTTTGCTTGTACCCTTAGCACCCTGCAGCATGGGTGCTAAGGGTACATCGTTCACCGCAGATTTTCCTTTTTAAGAAAATGTGACACAAAAAGGTTGTTTCTCATTTTGGCTAACATCAAGTCTAATTGCAGTTCTAAGCGATTTTTAGAGTTTAACTTCGGTTTGAGCTGAAACTTCGCAACTTGAATAATGCGTTATTAGGTAGCTGCACTTTCTTGCGCCACAATCAAATTAGAGGTTTGCTAGAGAGGGTCGCAAATCCTATACAATTGAGAATGCATGCATAGCAGAGACATGCTTGTTTTTTTGCATCAGTTTCTTTGACAGGAAAGTAATCTCTAAGTCTTTGAGAGAAGTTTCCGTTAAGCCACAGCTCAACAACCAATGCCATTTTTGGATATTCCTCTGCACATTTATTATATCCCAAAATCTTTGCAGGTTGGCGCATTAATTTTACATGCCAGTTACAGGTCATCCACAAAAATTCTCCGTAGCAAATCTTTATTACCACAATTTTGCTGCATTTCCTCTTTGCTAGGTCATCCCATACTTATTATGAAAAACAGTATATAGCTGACCTTCTGAAACACTCGTCTACTGGTGGCTTAAATGAATCCCATGCTAGCCAAATTTCTCTTAACTTCCTTTTCCTTCAAACCCGTTTTCCCTTCAATTCGATGCTATCAAATTTACAAAGTGCATTAAGTCTTATTCCAGAGACATTTATGGGAAATGATTTTGTGCCTGACAAGTTTGTTCCATTTAAGAAGGCTTACGATCCTCCTGCCAAAATTGCTTGTCATATGTAAAATCAAAAGCTCTCGACAAAGATTTGCTAGTAATGTAACTCAATTTTTCTTTTTAAAGGGGGTGTACATCTTTCTCTTCTACTGTGTTCTTAATGACAAGGTATGTATTGTGATTGTTTATCTGTTAACCTTTTGAATATTATTTCATTTAGCTAGCACTGTAAGCTGAAAATGATAAGCTATGTTTAAGTTTGATTCACCATTTTGCAAGGTCAGAAAAATATTAGCGCGTCATTTACCAAAATCAGGCTCGTAAATTTGGCAAGCAATAACGCTGAATTTGTTTAGTAAAGTTATTTATATTAATTTTTTACGGTTCATGATCTCAAAGCTGACGCTATAAACATGTTTTGTGATATCTCTTTGGCGCCATGTTTTTACGTGTGGGTCTTTTTTCTCCAGGTTAAGGAAGATTTTCGACGACGATTTTGTGCAATATCGAGATCAAGCTCACACTCCTTCACAAGTTCTTCTAAAAAGGCTCCTCGAAACTCAGCACCCTTGTCATTGTCGGCTATCAATTTTCCATGGGTATGTATTCGGGATCCTTGTTAAGGTTTAGCTTAAACGGAACGCTGTGAACACCTTTAGTATTCCACGCATAATATGGCAATGTTTACCTTTGCCTTGCTGTAGTTTGCAAAACCTTTAAGACGATGCATAACACTGGTTGCCTTAAGCTTATGTAAAATACATTGATCTTGGCAGGTCATTTGACCTGGGTTAGAATAAGGGGCTGAAACCATTCGTTTTGGTTCTTAGCAGGTCTATTTTGAAAATTTTAGCATCACTGACGTCTTCATTTAATTTTCGTAGTATTTGTTTCTAAGCCAAGGGACTGTTTTGTAAGCTTCGCTATTATTAAGCTGCTCTTGGAGGGCTCCAAACTAGGGCGTGGGGAACGTATGAAACAGCCAGAAAGATACCTGTGCTCAAAAAGCAAAATTCGCTGTGGTGTATGTATGTGTGTATGTATGTATGTATGTGCACCAACATATGTGTGTTGCATCTTGCGATCTGCAGAACTAATAAAAGTTTATTTATGGACAGAACATAGCACTGTTGATAAAAAGTTTAACACATATTTATCAGGCAGATAACAGAGTAAATTCAAACCCATGTTTACCCGTTAAATTCAAGAATGTTAAATTCAAGAATGTTAAATTCAAGAATGTATTTCATGTTCTTTAGAATCAGAGACGGGGTACTCAGACGGCCAAAGATGTCATTGTTGTCCACGATCCAACGATTGTTCGCAACGGCACCAGCAGCACTGGAACATCCACAAATGTGAATGGGACATTTTCGAAACGATACCAGGATATAATTCGAGAGGATGCGACCGTGCCCGACGATGAAGGGGCGGCCCTCCAAGGCTTTACAATTGGAAACGGAAACGAGGTACGTTACCTTGGAATATTTGCATATATATCACGTGGTTTTTATAAAGCATCTCACAAAATCCAGTTTCCATGGCTGAGTCATTTTGGACTCGCATTTTAAACAAGTTTAAAGACATGGGAAAAATGTAAGAGGAATGTAAATCCAAATTGTTTAAAACTGCTCAGTTTTTGAAACAGTCTAAAACAACTTCTCGCGCGAAATCTTCAGTTGCCAAACAATTATACTCAATTTGTTTAATCCTCTAAAAAACATCGAACCGAGTTTGTCCAGAGGTAATAACATAAAAAAGTTAACTATTGTTAAGCAAGTTATTGAACAGGCAGAGCTCTACACGCTATAAAATTGCCTGGTGATCGCATTAAGCGTGAAACTCGGAGTAGCCGTCCTGTTCTTTACACCAAATAGCGTAATAAGAATGTGATATAAATATAATAAGATACAATATAAAGCAACCAGTAACACAGTATAGTGAATGTAATGGCAGCTAAACCTCTTCCTACCAACTGCGATCGGAACACTGAACTGTATTGTTACTCCATTCTCGGTTTTCCATGCCGTGGTTGCAGCACTTATGTATTCCCGTCTGTATGCCAGCACCACCCATCTTATTTACTTCCCAACAAATCACCCAACAACCTCGACGAACAGTCGCTCTCTCCCTTTCACTTTTATCCATTGTTGGTATTAAAAACTGTTCTAGTTCTCTCTAACCATTAGTTTGTTCCCTCTTTTTAGCACATTGAGTATCGCCTTAGCCTGCACAGCGCCGACTCAAGAGACTCAGGGTCAGATCTGATGTCACCCGAAGTGACTCGCTTAACAGGTTGGTTTATCGTCTTTGCTTTTTATCGTTGCTCATGCCCTTATTACATTTTGGCAGTACATTTTGCTCATGCACCTTTTCACGGCATCTGCATTTAAGCATAAGATATCTTACCCAAAAGTCCTTAGAACGCCCTGCGGTTAATGAATGATTTTGGGAATTGAAATTTTCCGGCCCCAACACACAGAATAATCCCCCTCCCCTGAAAACAATGCTGGTTGAAAGGCCTATTACTTATTTATACTAACCGATAAAACTAAATTTAATGAATTTTAAAAGTTTTAAGCGGACGAGCGGGGGTGTAACTTGAATGTGCAAAATGTTAGCGTAGTGTACCAAGACTTTTGGCAGGTATTGTAGGCGCTTATGGCAGACAACTCTACTAGATTCGTCTAATTTATATTATACATTTGCAAATCAAAATCCCCTTCACGACGACGTAATGATGGTTGATTAGCTACATATAACTATTTATTTCATTATGGGAATGGATTTGAAATTATTATGATAAGCATTTTGATAAGCTGATTGTAACATGAATTGTAGCAAGCTATCGTTTTGCATCTGCAGGACCCCCTTGTGGATCAAATTGCCATATATCACAAAATAGTATTAACAAAGCACCTCTCGATGGCGAAGATGATGATAATGATGACGAAGAGGATGACATCGAAGAGGACGATAATTTACAGGCCTGTCCTGATGCTGAAGATCAGGAGGGATCGCTTGAGATGTCGAGAGATGCCGCGGATGAATTCGAAGAACGTGTTATGCGAGCTATTGAACGGAATATTCGACAGACCATATCTGAGAACGATGTCGGAATAGATATTTACGATAATGAAACTGTGTTGGTATAGCACTCAGCTAGCAGTTGGGTTCAGCATAGTAGTTTTGGCGTTCCGCTAATTGTGTGGAAATCCTTTCGGCAGATTCTCCTCGAGCGACCCAGAGAACGGGACCTTGGAGTAACAATTTTATCAAATGCACCGAGGCAAAGTAAGGTGCGACGTGCCGTGCATGCAGTCATGGAGAAGGCAATACGACCGAGTTAAGGTGAAAGTTGTCTTGAGAAAATGAGAACAATGTTGAATTGGATTATTCACTCTTAACAGACCGAAGTCTCTGCTTGAGCGAGTCGTTGATATTGTCGCAACATTGTCTGTGATTACTCGAAGTGGCAGGTGTAATTCTCAGAAACCGTTTTACAGCTGTTAACTAAATTCATTTTCATAATTTAAGCTCAAATATTTGTGCAGTTTGTTTAACATAGATGCATTTGTTTTTAGGGAATTTTCCATTAGCCATACGCGCGTCTAGACCGTTCAGTCATGGCATATGGCGTATGGAGTATTTCAAGTTGGAATGAGCTTCAGTTTGTTGCTCGTTTATCGATGTAGCTGCTTTCCTTGCCCCCATTGCGATGTAACCAACGGTCATAATAAGTCATTATCGATTCTGAACTGTTCTTGTTGCAATATAAACTTAAGATTTAGAAAAGGAAATTTCCCTTAGCTTTGTAGAAGTCCTTCGCCCGTCTTCCCAACGCTCGGCTTCTTCATCTCCTTACTCTGTGAAAGCAAGCGTGTGTGTACTGAATTAAGCTTGTTCAGAATTGGCATTTTCGTTGATATAGTTGCTCACCTTGGTGTTCTTGGTCCAGAGACTCACCCATTCCTTTTGCAGGCTTCCATAACGATAGATGATCTAACTGATGTGGCAGATAATCTTCGGACATGAATAAAACCTGGGCGTATGCCTGTGACAGTTCATCTCAACTTGAGCGTAAATGTGAAGGTACCATCGCATGGACCTTCTGCTTTCCAAATTGTAGAACTTAGTTTGAAATGATCGACTCCGTAGGTTGCATTAGATTATCTAATTAAGTAGGTACACGTTTTTAATGCATTTTGCGTTCAATAGTTTTTACTTTAACAATTTCAAATTCAGATCATTTGTATATTATATGTTGTGCTCGGCTGTTGTAAACAGCGAAATTCCCCGCTGAAATGTGTTGTAATAATGTAAAAATTTAGTTAGTTTTAAACGGGAATGTGCAAATTGCCATGCATATTACTCTCAAGTTCAAAAGATGGTTGTCCTTTTTTAGTCTTGCCTAGGTAGTATGTAGTCCATTTGTTGTTTATTGGCCATGGTGTGTCTGCTGCAAAGGGTATACTGGTTTCAACATATCCATAGCGTTTCAAAATATTTTGTCTTCATTGGATGAGAAATCAGCTGTAATAGTAAAGCCTGGTTCCCATATAATCTTAAAGGAGAACTGACACGCAAAAATAACTTTGGCTTGTTCGATGCAAAATTTGTCGCTGACTTCAAATCTGGAAAAAGTTTTCTTCTTAGATTCGCCGTTTTTCTGATATTTGCACTTTTATCCGTCAAATACGTCACAGCCAGGACTCGGGAATTTCCCGAAGCGGAAACAAGATTATCGCCAGGAGTTGTTAAAATTCTCGGTTGACGTCACAAGTGACATGTTAACAATGCCGTTGTAAAGGCTTTCACCGCAACGGTGAAAGTACAAGTGAAGTTTCGTGTTTTATTGAAAATAGTCCGCGGTGAAAAGACAAAAAATTGTCAGGCATTTCATTTATAAGTATATAGAAGCTAGAAAATCCTAGCTACATGTCTGCTAAGACGCTTTTATCCACATAAAATTTATTTTCATGCCATGATATCTTCGAACCAGCATGCTTTGAAACATTGAAAGAACCTCTAAGCTTATGAAAAAAGGAGTCGACTTTGTTTGAAAACTGATACCGTTTCTTCAAAGTTTTTATTTTTACAATTACAAAAAAATCGCAACATGGGGGGTGGGGGGACGGGGTCGAAGCAGTAGCCAAAAGACAAACGAAATCTAGTGGAGACAGCGGTAAAAGCGATCCTGCAACCTGCTTTGGGTGCAGAAATATGAATTCAAGAAAAAACCTTGGTTGATGGGAGCTGCGAGTGTGACTAAATAATAATTTCACTGAACTTGATTATTGTATTTTAACAGAGGTTGAGATACTAGGGAATAACCTAGTCTTGCAAAAAGACCATCCCCACCCTAGTCAAAATTGCTTGCAAAAGAATATAATGCGCCAGTTGATATTCCTATGACAGCTAAACAGCATTTTCTTCGACTAAGAAATCAAGTTCTTTGACTAAGAGCTAAGAGCCTATTTCGTAAATCCAGATCTTTCGACTGTCAGGTAACTTATCAGTTCCCGAAACCCTTCACGCCCGGTGAAAATGGCATAAAATCCGCACAAGTCGACTTTTAACCCGCCTTTACTATTCAATATCACTATACAGTTAACGCGTTTAAAACATTGAAAAACAATCATAGAATGTTATATTAACAATAAATAACTTGCAGTTACGTTTAGGTCATCATAGGCATTTCAGCGAATTAGGCCATACAGACAAAGCAGTCTGGACAAAGACGCCTCAATCTGAAATGAAATTCTAGTTTTACGATACCTGATCTCATTAGATTGTTTTTAACTGTTGATTGCATTGTTTTTAATAGAAATTCCATATCAATTTGTACTTCCAGTCTGTTCTTTGTTTATAATATCGTCACTGTTGAGCCATGGGACGACTGTCTGCCCAAGCGGCAGCGCTGGTTGGTAGCAAAAACTCAGACGGCTGAAACTCTCCATTTGTTTCGAAATCAGTGTAATTAAACTCCGATTCAGAGTCCCAAACCATTGAAAAAGTCAATTATGTGTCAAAAATGCAAAATTGGCTCCTTTCACATGCACAAAATAAACATTTGTCCGCAGCATTTTGTTAAAGGTTTCTATAGAGAAACACAATACGTGCTGAGAACATGTCACTTGTGACGTCAAAAATGATCGTCCACTCGTGACGATTTTCGCCTCGAGTCTCAAGTTGTCGGAACAATTGTCGTTTCTCAACTTAAAACGCCTGTATTTCAAAAACGGTAACTGTGATTTGAAAAATTTTTTCGATCCTGGAATTTGCTTGTCACAAACTACCGTTTTAGCCAAACTTATTTTTGCGTGTCAGTTCTCCTTTAAAGGCCCATTTCCACTTCGTTCGGATTTCGGATGCGAACTCATTGTCTGCAGTTCGCATCCGAACGTTTGCAAATCACATCCGAACGTTCGCATCCGAATTTGACACGTTCGGAAGTTTTGTTTTTCATCCGAATTCGCATTGCGAACAGAAAGGTCCCGGATATCGCTAGCCAATCAGAACACTGCATTTCTAGACGACCACCACTTCTGTGCACACAGATTCAAAGATGGCGTCTTTCAAAACTGATTGGAATAGCGATTTAGTTGGTGCGTTAATTGAGCAAGTGCACGAAAATGAAATCGTTTGGAACACGGGTAGTCCAATGAAAGCAATTGTTTGATAGGAATCTCCCGTAGCTAAATACCATTGGGTAACTGCAAGTTATTCAGCAGGGCTAATAGGTTCTCTCTTTTGATCAGACTTCAAGATCATAGGAGCAAACAAACGCAGCAAATTCTCAAAGAAGTGTGGAGACATATGGAAATATTTAAAAAAGCTCTCGTGATCTGCCAATTGCATTTCTCTCACCAAGTTGAAATACTCTCCTTGTTGTTTTCTCTGTTGAGGGATTGGTCGTACCCAAAACCCCTTACGGTATTTTTCTTTTCTTCTCAGCTGTCTTCTTCTCATCAGCATCAAAATCAACAATCTTCGTCGATTAAAAGCAGCCATTTTCGATTTCGATAAACAACAATTGAAAAGCGCGCCAAAATTGTCAATTTTTTTACTCCTTTACAAAAGATTCGCTCGAACGTTGTGGAAGTGTGGATTGAAATCGGAAAACGTTCGTCGTTCGGAAATCGGAGATCGGATGCGAAATCCGAAATCCGAACGAAGTGGAAATGGGCCTTAAGACTGCCACAGACGATCTGCGACGATCTGCGACGGTCTGTGGCACCTTCCCGGTGAAAGTGTTTCCATATAATCTTAAGACTGCCGCAGACGATCTGCGACGATCCGCGACGATCTGCGACGATCTGCGACGATCTGCGACGATCTGCGACGATCTGCGACGATCCTGACTTAACGCACTTCATTCGTCTGACATACTTTGAAAACGTTGTTCTGATGTTGTTGTAGCGTTTCTGTGCCACTTCCACATCAATTCCAAGTTCCCTGCTTACTTCTTTCCACGCTTTTTTTTCTAAGTGGAATTTTATAGTCTTTGCTCATCTTGTCGTAAATCACGGGGTAGTTTTGAAGGCAATTCATCAATGTTTCGTTGTCAATTTCATTCTCAATTTACACTGTCATTTTCTTATGATTGCAAGGAAGAAATGACACGTGTTGCAACACAAAGGAAAATGCTCGGGATTATATAAAAAAGAGGTTTTGATTGGACGACAGAATGCACGTGGCTATTTGTCAACAAGGGCATGTCACAGATCATCGCAGATCGTCTGCAACCCATGTTCCCATATGATCTGGAAGCGCCGGGAAGGTACCGCAAGAGAAACAAAGTTGAACATGTTCAACTTTTTGCAGGCCGTCGCAGAGACCTTAAGATTTATGTTCCCATTAAAGTGCCGCAGACCGTCGCAGACCGTCGCAGACCGTCTGCGGCAGCCTTAAGATTATATGGGAACCAGGCTTAAGAAATGGAGGCTTTGGAAGGGTTTGCTAAGCTTTCAATGTCAAATGTATCACAAAGTTGATGCTGTAGATACAATTCGAGTCAACATTGCTAAAAAACCGGTTGAGCAAGAGATGGATCGCCGGTTTTTCGTTTGAAAGGCAGCTCCTGAATCTATGTAATCAAAGATCTTAAAATGTAGTCTTGGTTATCGCGTGTACATTTTAAATTGTTCTCGAGGCAATACCCAACTGAATAAACAAACTATCGTGTATTTTCCATTTTGATGCATACTCAGCTTTCAGTCTGAACATATTTTGTGCTAAGAGGGAGTTGACTTCACAGAAACTCACCATTTTCGATACGCACCTGCAAAAAAATTTGCAGCCACCTTTTGTAAATTATGAGAGTATAAAAGTCTTGAAAAACGGTTCTTGAATAATCGAAATAGTTAACGATATTCGGGTGATGCGGGAATAACGAGACGACAAGTGAGAGCGACGAAATGCTGAGTATGGTGAAATGAATAATAATAATAAAAATAATAATAATAAGACAAATATTTACAGAGTCTCAGTCACTCGAGGGTGCTTTTCATGAGGGTCCTCTAGATAATGGGAGGTAGGGTGAGGGGGGGGGTTAATCGCCAGAAGACGAACGAAAGAAACAAGGGGGCGAAGCGGATAAAGACGAGATGGTCAATCCTGTGATGAGATATTCTTTGTGCCTTTCTTTGTGACGAGTTGATCTTGTCCAGGAATTGGAGGAAGCTAAATTATGTGTACATTGAATCTGTTTTATAATGGTTTATCTTTTATTTCGGGGAGGGGGGGGGTTGTAGAGGTTACAATTTCAATATAAGCCTGGATGAGAGTTTACATTCTCAGAATCGCGATATTCCTATGACGTTGTGATGCCCATCCGAACCCCCGGCCAGATGCAAATGGGTAGGTTAACGAAAATAACCAGAAAATATTTAATTAACCAAAATCATCATATCGTCACCAAAATTTGAAACTTTTAAGGCGGGATAATCAATATTTAATCGAATGTTGGTCATTTCTATTTGAACATGGAAAGACCGTTTACATTTGCCGCAAAAGAGTTGATACGAATGAGACAATATGGGATCAAATATCATTTTTGAGGCCCTACAAGGGGGGTTGACATTATTTCATAACGAAATCTTGCCATTATTTCATAATTAAAAATTAACTTAAAAAATTATCAAAAGGCCCATCCTGCTTCCAATTAAGGAATCAGATTTATTAATTCTTTGATACCAACTAAACTGAAGTATATGCTTGCCACTCGCTCTATCTATGAATAGCTTGACGGGGTTCTGGAAACGCTTAAAAGACACTCTTTCTACTTTTGCTTAGAACACTTCCATATAAGGTAAAAACCCGCGTGTAAGAAACAACTTTTTCAGAGTTTGGCAAAACAGGTTCTTGTATTATGGGGTACTTGTTGACAGTTTAGGCTAAATAGGTTCTTAGTTAAGTTCTTATTGTCTTCAGAGTATATATTGGTTTTGATTATCAGAAAATCTGGTCTGTTTTTCATTCTAAATAATTATGAGTGTACCAACGATGCCCAGTTAAATCAGCTCTATTTATACTAGGTTAAATTGCCCCACTCAATAACCTGATCAAGTTAACAAATATGAATAGGGTGTTAAACTTTGATAGATATTTTCAAAATTGTATCTATCAATTTTAGATACAATTTTAGAATGAATTGACTTCTCTTCTGCAACAAACGTCCTTATGTGGTCCTTATTACTAATGCAGAATTACTAATGCAATTCCAAACTGTTTCTTTGAGAAAATCAATTAGATTTTAATATATATGATATCCCCGTAAACTAAATACAAAATTTTATAACGGACAAAGATGTGAATCAAAAAGAAGAAACCTTATTGACATGCCATATCTTACATCATTATTATATGGTTGCTCACATTCATAAATCTTACCCAGTCTTTCACTCGTTTTAATGATGGTGTGAATGCTATGCTTTCACCCAGATACCAGTTTTCCGAGAATTGTCTCCGGGCACAAATGTTTGTGGGCCCTTAGTTTTGTCCTCAACGGTGCATACCGTACGTAACGCTACAGAATCTATCTTAGATGAGGTTTCTGGCATCCCTAGTGTATGTGTTTTCATAATTTCTCTTGCCGCCAACCAAGGGGATGGCCTTAAGACTTTAACAATCTTTATATTTTGGCTCCTCCAATTTCAAATACGTTTCCCTTGTCATGGAGGCCATTACTACTCCAAGTTTAGAGCAAGGAATACTGTCTTTCTCGTCATTTCTCGGAGTTTTGAGTTCGACGATTATCTAAACAGATGAATACTTGCTGTTTTGTGTCGCTTCTGCGATCAAATTAATAATCCTCATTTTAATATAACACTCCGTTATTTCGCTATTTTGATATTTCATTCTGGGAATCTATATTATTATATAATTCAACGCTAAAAATCTAGATATTTATATTTTTCCTCCAAAAATCGCAATTATTTCATATTTCAAATATCCCTGATAGGGCCTCATTTTTTAGTTGTGTCTAGAAATGTTGTACATTATCTCTAGTGCGAATGTTACTGTTTGCATTTCAGTTTTGAGGCATTCTTGCTAAAATTTGTGCAAAGTTCGTCAGAAGCAGATAGATATCTGTTCAATAGAGGATTTGGAATTTCCGTAGATTTGAGACAATGCCATTTTTTTCTGGTGTTTGCATAGGGTTTAAATCAAGGGCAATGCTGGCTGGCGCCACGCGAGGAGCTTGTGGGTTTTTTATTGGCAAAAAAGCTATTTCAGTTGGTAAAAAAGGGCGTTATCTAAAAATTTTTATTTTGTCTTTATTCTCTTGTTTTATGCATCCGTTTTACTATCCACCAACCGCCTTAGTTTGGTGTCACTTTTCATGAATTTTTAAACAAGTTTTATTCAAATTGAATTATTAACGAGCGTAGTGTTGTCATATCTGAAATTGATGCTTTCAAATTGCACAAAGGCACCCAAATGTTAGATAACGAAAACATCTTTGTATTTTCTTATTGCACCTATAAGGTAGTTTTTGAAACATTTCGACTAATATTAAAGGCTTGTCGTTTAGAGGGAATATAGAAAAAACCAGTGTTCTCTTTATCAATCTTTCATATAGATACTTGTGCATATAACACGGCCGTCAGAAACGGGGGGCTGGGTGGTCTGGATGCCTCAAAAAACTGTGAAACTGTTCTATACAAGACAATGGGCAGCCCCCCTAACATGGATTTCGCTCCGACGACAACGCATAAAAGTGCAATTATGCTTTGATGAAATGGTTTTTCAGTGAAAGTTTAATAGTTCCATTTAGTTTTCATTTTTCCTTTATCAGGCAAACTCCATACAAGGTTTTGCGACAACATGTATCAAGGGAGACTTTGTTGATCAAAGTATATTATGGTGTGTTGGCCTAAAAGGTGGAAGAAACGAAGGCAAATTTGGCCCCTTCTTAATGCCTTTTACCTCAAGTCATTATTCCCACCAGAAGTTGGTCCGCTAGAGACGTTTGGTATTTGGTATTCAGCAATGGCTTATTAGAAGAGAAGGATCCCTTGAAAAGTACAATATAATAATAATAATACTAATAATAATAATAATAAACATTTTTAGAGCGCACATACAAATAAAAAATTATCTATCTATGGCGCTTTACAATGACAATAGTTTATATAAATATACTAATATGTGTGCAGTACATTATGATGCTATAATAGATAACAGGCTATGCTCGAAACGTCGTTAATTATTTTTAAAAAAAATTTCCTTGTACAATTTACTTACATTGATCGTTATTACAAAAGTTTATGACTAGTTTAAAATTTAGATAATTAATAAGAAGTTCTTTACTTGTTAAAAATTCTAAAACGGCTAAAATGAATGTTTATGCAATGAAGTCCGTTTAACTAAAAGCAATTATAAAGAAATAGGTTTTCAAATTTTTCTTAAAAATATTCAAATTTGGAGATGTTTTAACATTGTTGGGCAACAGGTTCCAAAGTCGGGGAGCACAGACGGGGAGCATATACATTAATACCTACAAATTTATTTTGGCTGGATGTTGATTTTTCTGGCAGCTAAGCAAGCTGATCTGGACCTCTGGATAAGGCCTGGATTAGAGGTGTTCTCATACTTGTATCATAAACACATATAAACAGTGGTTACACAGTTGGTGTATGTCCCTTAACATTATCATTGCCAGCATTCATCTCAAGCTGGCCTTAACTGAGTGCTTCGAAGAAGTCATCTACATATATTGAGAATAATCTTGGTTGAAAACATGAGCCTTGCGGCACTCCGTACTCCATTTTTCTCAGTGTACTGACGCTTCCATCAATCTCATTGAAAGTCTGTCTGTTATCAATACAATCAATACAAGGGTTGAAGGTGCCATGTTTCCTGAGAACTCTGCCTACGGAAGCTTGTGCATTAAAATGACGTGATCCACTTCATTTTCAGTCAGTTCACCGGGTGTCCATGGCCTACTAAAGAGTCTATTGTTTCCATTATCTACACTTCCTTATTTCTTCAAAGACAGGCGAATTTTCCTATCTTTTATTCTACAAGATACTGGTTTAATTTCTTGCAGAGTTTCCAGAGACTATATATATATATATATACCATGATTCACTTGATTTGCACATCAAATTTGGTGTTATACAATCTGACTCCGGAGCAATGCCAAGCTTCATTATTTCCAACACAGTGTCGTTGGAACAAAATGATAATGAAGGAAGTGGTGGCCTTTTCAGTGTCTTCCATTCAGCTCCCGAATACAAAAGAAATGAGAAACAGTTTAGCGATTATTGGGCGTTGTTTGATCGATCTTACTGCTTTTTCCCCGGGTTGCTTTATTTTGTTTCCAGACTGTGTTTTCTAACAGTTTCAGCTTAGAGATTTTGTCGTTATTATTTTCGGAATCATTTAAACTATTCCTGTTCAAGAAATAAGCTTTGTTGTTTGGAAAATTGAATCCTGAGTTTCGCTGATTCCCATTGGCTACAGTCAAACTGTTTGAAAAGGTCAATTCGACATTCCAATTTATTTCTCAAGGATGTTATTTCCCTCAACTTTGGTTCCTAAACCGCTGTTTTGTTTATCTGTTTAAACATTGATATTGCAAAATTTGCTGGTTTTGTGTTAACAGTGAGCAAACAGTTTGAAGGTGGTGGTTTTAATACACTTGTGCGAAAATTGCTTCCCAGTGTAGCAACCACTTTGAAGCAGCACATCAGATGACGGTATAAAAGTTAGCGACTGTGTGAGATGGTTCTTAGATCTCCACACAGAGCTTCAGAGTTGCAACATACACAGCTAATTTGAAATGGAAGCGAAAGACGTATACTGGATAGCAGCAATAATTATCGGTTTGTCAGTAATAGTTGCGAATTCGATCGTCATTGGCACGTTTTGCCGCTTTAAAAGACGAATTTTGCGCCGCAAAGTCAACAGGTTTCTGTTATCACTCGCCTTCGCAGACCTGCTTGTCGGCGTGTTCAGCGTGTCTTTGGCGACCTGCTTGCTGTCCAACCAACGCATGATGATATACAAAATGGCTGGTAATATCCCCCTCTTCGGTAGTTTTTTCGCATCCATTTTGTCCCTGTCGCTGTTCTCTTTTGACCGACTGATTGCAATCCAAAGGCCACTGAGATATTACTCTATTGTAACTTGCAGACGCATTGCAGTTTTTCTTGCTTCAAGTTGGGGATTTTCCTTCCTGATGTGTGTACAACAATATTCTTTTTTTTTTGGCTTTTCTTTTGAACTTGAGCTGAGAGCACGTGGAACAATAATGATTATTTGTTTCTTTGTTGGTGCAACCGTATTAATTGTCACAAATGCGCTTCTGTACAAAGCCATAAAGAAACAGTATTTAAAGACTACAGAAAGTGAAAGCTTCTCTCTCCGAGAGCAAGGCTGTGGAGAAGATAACGGGAGAGGCGATACGTCGAAAAGGAGACTCCCAAAGAGGTCTGATTTAGCTGCATCTAGAGAATGTTTATGCATCGTTATAGTTTTCATTTGCTGCTACCTGCCCTTGTCATTATATCGTCTTGTTTATACATACGGCATCAGCATTAATGACATTCACGGAAGGAGATTGTGTCTTTTGTTTGCGCTGTTGAGTAGCTTCATAAACCCGTGGATCTATTTCTTCAAGCGAAAGCAGTTTAGGGCTCTTTATTCAAAAAGATCTGCGCAATCAGATGAGGAAAGCTTCTACCTGTGAAGACCTTTACTTATACGGATGAAAAAACAGTGCTAAAGTAAACATAATGAAGGTAAACGCTTTTCAATGTATTCATCACCAGCTTTCGTGTATTGAAAGAATAAAATGGCGAATACAAACAATCAAGCTTTATTATAACTGTTGAAAAAGAACAGAAATACATGCTGACTTAATTGATCTAATTAAAGATGCATGACGACTTTATTGTGTAAATTAAAGAAGAATATACTCAAGAAGAATAGCTACTTAATTATAATCATTTGCAGAAACCTTGATAGGAAACACCAGTGTTATTCTTCTAAGAACTCGTTAGATACTGTAAAGAAGTAGTTTTGCTCTTGCTCCAAAGATGTTTTGGATCTTCATCGAACATCGTTGAGACTTTCTTTGCGTCGCAAGATGCACTGCTAGAACCTATTAAAAATTCTTGGCGGTTCAGCATGAAAGCCTTTCGTTTTGCAGTTTCTGGGGCAATTCTAAACGACTGGAATGTTTTCCATTTTGACTGTATTGTGTATGTACCCGTTTTCTTTCCATTTTTTCAAAAAAAGGAAATTTTTAATTAAAGTCAATTAGTAATACAAACAACAGCAACCATCAAATGTAGCAACGTATTCTAAGCTTGGAAAAAGCAGTGGTGAATCTAGGTGGCAACTACGGTGGGAGGTGGGGGGCGTTGGGGGCTTAAACCCTTCTAGAAATATTTGCAAGAGGCCCCGTCCACCCCAGGCAGCGTGTTGATACAGCAAAAAGCTCTATATTCGAAGTTTGAGATAGGTGGAACAAGTCAGAAAGGTGTTTTAGTAGTCATTATCTTTTATCAAAAGGACTTTTGGTGCGTGTGATGGTCATATGTTCAGGTCAAGTCGCATTATCAGCATTATATCTTGCCTGAGTCAGACGAAACGATATAGTGGTCTTCATACCTCACATCACAGTCTGTTTTTCGCTGTTATTGGTTGCTCAATTGTAAGCTATAGCTGTGAACAATGGTGATTCTTTATCATTTGTGCGTTCCTGTGTATCTGTGTATTAACATTGTTATGAAGGCCTCAACATTGTATTATTCTCGCGCCAAACAATACCCAAAGTCAAATCGCTATTTTTTAAACCACTTCACATTAACCAAAGAGCAAACAACACTTTTACACATAAACTGCAGTGCGCTTGATTTCTAAGCGGATATCGCAGAGGCGGATCCAGAGTGAGTTCCTTGGTGCACAGAACTCAGTCAGTTTTCCAACATATAGCTAAAAATAGTGTTGCCTGAAACAAGAAACATTTAGGCTAAAAAAGTGAAACCTAAAAATTCTTAATTTCATCACAGTCCCTTCAGAATTTTAAAGCTGCCAGTTTGATATAGTTCGTTCGTCCTTTCCGTCCCTTCTTCTCTGTCGTGATTGTGAAACGATTTCCCAAACGCTGTGGGGGACAACAGAAGTCGATCCTAGAACTCGGAAATAAACGTTTTGTGCCTCGGAAGTGAATGAATTGAAACAATAAACTTTTTGTTCGGAACACGGATGGAACTCAGTCAAAACAGCATCTGGAACTCGGAAATGAAACCATCTTTGTAAGAGAGCAGTACAATAGCCAGTAGTTTATTGGCTACCTATTGTTTCTGTTCTAGCGTGGAAGTCGATCCTCGCAGCATTCTAGCAGATTGTTAAGCGTTTGAGATAAAACCAGGAAAAATCGTTAATTTTCCAGGAGCATTAACAACCTTTGTTTTAAATTGCAGTCCTATGCAGGGGAGACCTATGCTCAGACGGAACACCATACTTTGATGAATAGGCAGGTGTCTACGGAGGCAAAACAATTAATTGCGAGGGAAAACGGGAAAAATTTTGCTATGTCATCCAAGACAAATAAAAAGGTATTAAGAATAAGAGGGGGTTGCAAAAACTTTCACAGAGGCAGTTTTTTGTCAGAAAAAGATCTAGAATCTAGTTCAGTGAGTGGGTAGTACCTGCCCCTCCCCCCCCTCCCCGTGGTACCAAAATGCACAAATATAAATGATAATGTTGCTTGTCCACAATTATTAATGCATTATCTGAAAGACCTTAGCCTTGGCCTGGAACTCAGTCAGGTTTTTTGCTGGATCCGCCCCTGTAATCGGATATTCTTTTTGTCAAACTTGAAATAATTTTCTCGATTTTCCACTTTGAAAAAGATAATGAGTTTTGCCAAAGTATGGGAATATCTACACTTCATTTTTGTTCTCTCGCCTTAAGATCTTTCTGATTTCCATTTCCTTGAAAACCATATCAATGTTCTTGACTATTTAATTTTTCCATGCCATTTAAGTGCTGAAAACTCAATTGTTTAGAATAACAGGACAACATTTTTGTCTTGTTCATCATTAACTATATCAGCTAACTAATGGATGCACTTTTCCAAAGGACCAGCAGCCACAATGAAGCCCCTTTGCACACGATACAGATTATTTGAATTTGTAAGATTAGACAATTGGGCTTTGAATCAAGACAGTTACGATCAAATGCAGTCTGGTTTAGGCAGGTGACCTACCTGACTTAAAGGAGCTGATGAAAATTGCAGAATAAACAAAGAATAGAGAAACGTTCTTAAAAGCTGTGGAGATCCGAACAGAGGCCAATTATTTTCTATACTGATTTAATAATTTTCAATGATTTTTCCTTTCCGCTACAGCCTTAAATGACGCAAGAAAAAGGGGGATAGGGGTATAGGAAAATAAGGGGTCATAAAAGAAAAATTATCATGATAAAGCTAATGATAAGAAAAGCAATAAAAGACAAAGGATTTGGTTTCTAATTGATTTACTTTCCAGTAAAACTCCTTTTGCGAATTGGTGCCCTGTGTGAGGCACTTAATGTCTACAATAGAAGAAGCCAAAGTAAACTAACTCCTTTGTTTTTCATTTCGTTTTACCATTGTCAATATACCATATTCATATTAGCTATATGAAAGTAAAATGAATGTAAATATAAAATGAAAGTTTCAATAAAATTTAAATTCAAAATAAACTGCAATTAAACACTTGATTATCGTAATGATGTGGCAGTTTTTTCAGGGAGTTATGTTAAGGGAATGTGGGTAGGTGCCTGAAATTTAAAGAAGGATATCTTTCCAACTCTCCAGAGCTGAGTAGCGGGAACTTGTGCTAGCACACTCTAAGTTGCACGTTAGAATTTTATGATTCTTGCAGTTCCTTGTTCGCTAATTAAATTTGCTCGGTTTGGAATTTGCTCGGTTTTTGCTCCATCTGCTCTCTCTGCAAAGCGTATTTAGAATTTTATTCCTTCAGGACTTCAAATACACTTAACCATCTGCTTGACCATTTATCTGTTATTTTATCAATCTTAGCATATTCAATTATTGTATAGGCTGGTTCTTATAAAAAAGTGCCTTAACTCACCATTTTTTGGGAAAAACCTATCTCGAGCTATGTCTTTCGAGGAATTTTCAACTGGATAGCTACAGTAAACTTACAGTTTGCTTTCTTGACATTTTGTAATTGATTCATTCTTCTGTTTTTGACCTATAGTTGACTTGTATCCTTTTGTAAGCTTGATTAAGTCCAAATATATCTGTTTGTTATATATATGTTGTTTTGTTAGAAGCATGCCCCCTCAGGTATCGTTCTTGCTCAAGTTTGTCCACACCAGCCGACATCTACAGCTACATAGTTGACTCAAACTTGTTTTGCTTTACTTCGCAGCTCCAGCATAAGAGAAATTTCATGGTAGCAAACGTCTTTGATAGACCAAACATTGTTAGACTATTAGCAGTTCTTATGTGGAAAGGCATTTTGCACCCAGAAAAAACAGCACTATTAAAGTAACCGACAACTGATGGAATATATCCATAACCTTTCCCGCTATTCTTATAAAAGCAACCTGTGACAGTTTCTTGTTTTGTCTTCATTTTTGAAATCTTCCAGTTCACATTTCAAGGCCTACAAAATGCAGTTTCAACTTTTCATGTCATCTGTTATTTTGCCAGAAAAGGTATCATCTAATCATCTACAATATACTGAACTTTTTATGCGTTTCTGCATAAAAACGAAAAGAACACCGGCGAACTAAAAAACACAGGGTGCTGATGATTTTGTAAATAGAAAAAAATGGCGGCGAAACACTGGGTTTCAGACGTATTTCCAGTTCAGTATACTGTGGAGGATACCTTATCTGACAGAACAAGAGATGACATAAAAACAGCATGTTATGCTAGGGAAAAATTAAAGGATTTGTATGAAAATGCGTTCTGTCGTGTTCTGGCTGAGAGGGATCATGCTGAGTGTCCCGGTTAGGCCTGTTTTATTTTTTCTTCAATGACCGTTTATATCTAAATGCGTAACACTCCTTCTAAAGTTTTTGAAAATTGTATGATTGTTAATAAGGAAAGATGAATGCTGCAAGTAATTCCCAGCTTTTGCTAATGAGAAACCATCCGGTCCCAGTTTTTTATCATGTTAAGTCAGGAAGTCATTCCATTTTTCATGTCATCCTGTTTGTCAGGTTGGCTTTGGCTACAATAGCGGTTATCAGCTATAAAATTATAGTATACTTTTGCTTATGTGTACAATTGTTTGCAAATTTGGTCTGCAAGTCGGCAAGAATATCAGAAAACACATAGCATCATATTTTACCGGTTCCTTCGTTTCAAAGTTCTTAGCAACGAAATTATCTTTGTCTTGGAATAGGGTGTCTATTCCCCCCCCCCCCCATAGTCAGTTACCGTATTTCCTCGAAAATAAGCCGTGGCTTATTTTTTATGAGATGAAATTTTCCGGCCTACTTTTGAATTGGCTTATTTTCTATCTTTTTTCTGAAAAGAGAAAAAAAATTTGAACAAATTTTTCAAACAATTTGCCAGTACATTCGAATGATTTGATTTGAATGTTTGTTTGACTGACTTAAAGGAGTGTGCAGTGCAATGGCTTCACTGTGTCTTAGCTTATTTTTGAGGTTGGCCCATTTTTCCTATATTTACATTGCTACTTTGTAGTTACCCCTGTCACAGAAACAATGGGCACCTAGTTTAATTGATTGACATGTTATTGCAACCAGTAACACCTCTATTGTTTTATCTTATAGCACAATGTATAGGAGTAAAGCCTTCCTGTTGTTGTTTATATGAATTTCTCCAATTTAGTCCTCCTGATAAGTTTTTCAGAGTTTTTCTGCAATATATGCTGTGCCTTATCTTATAATTCACTGCCTGTCATAATTTCAGAGAAAAAAGGGACTGTATTGGAGAGTTCTGAAAGAAAATGTGAACCAATCTCTAATTCTGTTGAGACTTATAAGAAGACAAAAAAAGATGAAAATTGTTTATGGACCAAAGAAGAACTAGATGTTTTCCGAGATGGCTTTTTCAATTTAAAAAGACGTGCGGTTCACCTACTTATTTTGTTATCAGATTCAAAAACTCGAAATAGTGAATTAAGAAAGAAGTGTAAAAATAAAGATGTAATTATTGCAAACCAGGACCATTTGCTTTCTGCACAGAAAAAGGAAATAGTGAAATCGACTGCAACAATTAAAGAGCTTCAAAAAGATCTGGGATACTCAGAGAAGAAATTACAACAGCTACTGATCATAGAGGCACAATACAAAGATCAAAATGCCTTTTTAAAAACTGAACTGGAAGAAGAAAGAAATGAAATTAAAAAACTACAGCTAGCTTGTAGAGATCTTAATAGATCACTTACAAGCATGCAACGGAAGACAGAATTGGGTCTTGTTGAGCAAAGGAATATTCTTATTGCACAGTATAAGCATACACAGGAAAAGGTTGAAGAAGAAAAAGAAAAGTTACAGAAAGAGCTAGAACGAGAGAAACAGGAACACCATTTAACAAAAATAGCTCTCGACCAGCTTAGAAGACATTTTGCACACATACAAGCTAATAAAACAGATAAATTTCTAGATGTGACTGAGACAGAGAACATGGGGTAGATACACAAATATTTTGACAATGGCAAATGATTTCCTATGCATGTTCAATTAGATATGATTTTTGTCAGTTGTTTTAGTGTTTCTATAGTTTAATACAAGTTGCTGATGAAATCTAGTTTTTATCATTATTGTACCTAAACTTTTCCACATTGTCAAATTAAATTGATTGGATTTTGAGATTTGTCAAATTAATTTATTTTCATTTATTTCTGGCTTTTATGTTCAGTTTTTTAATTTAAGTTCAAATGTTATTCTGTATCTAAAATTCTTTCTCTTGCTATTTTCTGTTACTTTGAATTTTTAACTGTCATTTCTAGATTTTGGAAAAAGACTGTTAAATTTCAAATTTTTCAATTTGTCATCAAATATACAATTTCCTTAAACATTTGTCAACACTTTAGGCAGATTAAAATGTTATAAATGTAAATATTGAGGTAAATTAAATGGTAAGCATGTCAAACTACTTCTTGCAGTTTAAAAACCTAAATTAATTTCATTTTCAGTTAGCCTTTGTCTATTTTGACTCTGCTCCTACATAAGAAATTTATAAAGCATTTGGTTTTGAGATAATTCACAATCCATACCTTTTATCAAATGCAATCAAACAAATAAAGCTCAGTGATAAATCTGAGCAATGCCTTCTTGAATTTTAATTCACCATTTTTAGTTCAAGTTTTTGTAAAGAAGACTGTCCATTTTTTAACAAAAGACAAACAGCAAGCAGCTTTGTAGGCAGAACTGTCTGCAAATATTGTTTTGTTTTGATTTCAAAGTTACAGAACCACTTTCTATCAAACTGAAAAATTTCACGTAAATATCATGTATTATTGCTTCAAAAATCTATATGAATGGAGAAACATTGCTGTATACCAAAATAGCCACTCCAAAATTCTGCCAACCTTGTTGGAAAGTGCAGCTTGAATATGAATTTTGTTATGAGAACTGTAACATAAAACATAAAAGTTTCATTTTAAAATGACAATATAATGTCTCTACCATGTTTCTTATGTATAAATCAGAACAATTTGAGAGAAGCACTGCTCTTTGGCTAAATAAAGAATAAAACCCCCCCACCAAAAAATCATTTATTTATTACCATGTGCAGTTTCTTCATTAGACATGATCCAAGATGTTATCTTGTCGGAAAGTCGTAGGTCTTGGCCCCCCCCCAAATGAAAGCCTGAATTTCCACCACTGGTCCCTCCTCCCCTTATTCCAAAACTGACAGCTGCTTAAAACAATTTGTTCAGAAAATCCACCAAGGCACTTGCTAGACACTCTGTAGGAAGAAAGCATTCACTTATTTTGATAAAAATAATTTAATTTCTTTACATTTCACCCCTCTCTCCCGCTGTTACAAATTTTTCTTAATATGACTCAAACTAAGCACATACCTTTTGCTATTCTTTGCTTCTTTATATTAGGGGCTAAACATGCTAAAAACCAAGAGCAAGGAGATTTTTGGTATGATTTTAAGTATATTTTGGAAATTATTGGGGAGGGGGCGTTTTCTGGCGTTCAAAAGGGTGTGGAACCTAGTTTTTCCTTGCTCAATTCTCCTTTGCCCCAGCCCAAACCTTACCTTTGCTACGCCACTGTATAACACACTTCACAAAAATTTCTAAAAGTTACCTCTCCATTCCCAACATTTTTTCATCGAACTTAGACAAAATACAAAACAGTTCCTGCCAAGAAGTAGGGGAAGTGCCCCCAGCCTCCCCAAGGGGGCTGTCCGGTGTCCTAGGTAAACTTCGTCGTTGTGCAACTGCGAAGGAGACAGCAACAACCGCCATTTGTTTCCAGCAACAGAGATAAACCTTGACGACAAGATGGTGGAAAAAAGAGCAATTGATCGCCATACGATAAATCAAAGATCAACTTGCAAACAATTTCACTGATAAGACGTGAGTAATGCTGCTTTTTGAATTTCCCAATATGCAGTAAGCTCGTTTTTTTACCACCGGGGTCTTAACCAATTTTTAACACTCAAATGAGATGTGGAGAAGGACTTGTCAAAAATCACAAAACCGAACTCGTCATTTCAATTTTCGGAAGTTTACTTTGAAAAGTAAAATCAAAATAATATGCAAAATAGAGTAAAGAACAGCAGAATACTAACATCAAAATATAGTTTATATCTAATAAGTGTATATACCTAATTAAATGGCATATGAAAAGACCTTTATTGAGCTAACTTTGATACCATGCCCCTTCTTTGGGCGCGACTTACCATTCGGGGGAGCTAGGAGCCGGGGGGTTAGGGGGCACGTACCTACGACTTTTCTGCTAAGCTTGAAGCATGTTCCTTTTATAGAATAAAAGTGCCCCTCTTGAGATTAAACATGCGTCATGTCATTGTTCAATTTTATTTGGCACTTTATAATCCTGGAGCCACTTTGAACTATACATTCAATTTGTTTTCGTCTTTTCATTCTTGGTTGTCCAATCTTTCTATTGATTGCACTATTTTGAGACTGTTGATGCATGCCTTGTAAAAATAGGTGGAAGATTCGAGAAAATATCATATGCACCTTTGGAAAATATGGGAAAAGCTTTTCTGGATGCTGCAAATGGTTGAGAGTTTGAAAGTTAAAACTTCCTCCAGAAATGTTTAAGTGGCTTACTTCTGAAGTAGAAGATATAACTTCATTTGACACAATTGTAGAAATTGAGTGTAAAACAAAAGTTCTGGCTCCATTATCTTTTGCTCCAGCAGAAAGATCATTCTCAGCTCATTGGAAAATAAACAAAAATTACCAGCAAAGTAGTATGACAGAGCAGAGATACAACAACTTGATGATGCTTTGTTCTCATCAGCAAAGAACTAATAAAATAGATTTTAAAAAGGTTGCAAAAGCCCTTTAGAGCAACGACAATGGCAAATATTATTTTGGTAAATGCTAATTACAAAGGTTTTCATCCAGGTCTTAGCCAACTTTTCTTCTAGTTAACAATGAGACCATTTCAAAAAGAGCATATTCAAAGCTTGTTTTACTTGCTTTCTCTCTCTCTCTCTTTGGTGCCATATCATGAGACTTTGGCGATCATGCTTTGCCACAATTCTATGTCTTAGTCATGTGTATTAGATCAATCTCCTTGATTGTTGAACCATTTGTTTGGATCCATCTGGGTAGGCTATTCATCCACAGTATTCTCTGCCTTCCCCTGCTTCCCTTCTCCTCTATCTTTCCATTTAGTGCCAAGTTCTAAAGTCCCTCTTTCTGAAGCATATGCCCCAAGAAGTGAATCTGTATCATTCTGATGTCCTTAATAAGCCTTCTATTTACACAGGCTCTTGCAAGAATTTATCCGTTGCTCACCTTGTCTGTCCACAGTATTCTCATCATCTTCCTTAAGAACCACATCTCACAGCTTTCCAGGTGCTTCTTCAAATCTGCTGTTAATGTCCAAGCCTCACTTCAGTGGCAGAAATTGAAGGGGTATGAGGGCAACTGCCCCCCAGGTTTTGTCAAATTGTCGGTTTTGTTGGCAAGATTATGTCATTTGTCAGCAAATTTGCTTACTTTTGTGGGCCAAGAATAAATATAATAAATATAATTTGGAATGGGTTTGGATGTGCAGCTCTTTGGAATATATGTTTAACTTTTTCAGTAGTTGATTTGTCATTTTTTGGTTGTTGTAACAGTTTTTGATGAAGGGTTGAATTGTCAAAAATTAAAATCTTCAGTTAGGTACAGTATGCAGTAGGTACCTGATATTTATTTTGAGAAGTAAAAAGTGCTTATGAAAAATAGCATAATCCCAAAAGACATTGCATTTAAAATAGATGTTGCCATGAAGTGAACACTCATTCATTTTGTGTAAGGCAAAATTTATAAGCAAATGAGCCCTAAGTTGATGTCAAAAATTAAGAAACTTTAGTACTTTTCAGGATTAACTGCTCAAAAATCTATCTTTAATTATAGGATGAAAATGTCTCTTTCCAACATTAGACACCTGTTTCCTGTATAAGTAAAATGGATAGCTAAAAATAAGAGCTACTGTTAACTAATTAGGTGTCCTGTTACATGCTATTTTGCTCTACCTTTTTGTATTCTCTCGAAAGTAGCATTTTGGTATTTAAGAAACTAAAGAAACTTTTAGTACTAACATCAAAAATTTTAATTTCAGGGAACTAATTCTGACTTTAGTTTTCATAGGGAGAAAATGCATGTATTTTGATTAATTCTGTGACTTACATTATATTATAAATAACTTATGAATGCAAAAGGATTGTATGTCCAATGTTTTGAAAGCTTACATATAAGCATTTACTGCATGCAAGTCCTGTTATGATAACATGTACAAAAATCTTTGCAACTTTATCTATGATCTTTGTAGTTAAAGTTTATTGTGTTTATTGCTGAAGAGAAGTATAACTTGAACTTTACTTGATTATCGTGAGTCTTTTGATGCCAGATTAAATTCAAAAGCTTGAATTATATATTAATGGAAATCTTTAAATTATTAGATAAGAATTCCAAATTTTGCAAAGTTCATTTCTGTATGTTTTGCAGCTGCAAAGTTCATTTCTGTACGTTTTGCTGCTGCTGCTGAATTTTAATTGTTTTTGTCTGTTTAGTATAAATTTAGTTTCAATTTTTTTGTTTGATGTACTATGTTTTATAGTTTATCAGGTGTAATTTCCTCTTTCTTTTTAAAGGGTTTAAACAGTTTGGACATGGAGATTGATGAAAGACTAAGATGGTTTGAGACAATTGTAACATCTTCTTTGAAACCAAGAGCTGAGGAGCTCAAGAATTTGTTTTCAAATGAAGAGAGCAGGTAAGTGAGAAAAGGAATCATTTCACTCCAAATTAGAGTTGCCCAGCAAAGTGTTCATTTATCATCAGACCAATGTTCCTAATTTATCGAACCGTGTCAACAAAATTCACGTGTATAAACAAAATATTTCAGAACTATGAAATAACTCAGTTAATTTGACTTTGTGCATTAATATGCTTGTTAAATTTTTTTGGTGTTATCTTGAATGATATCTGAGTATTTGAACTTGAAATAATGTTTGTAAAAAGCTGATTAGGCACAAACAACCACCTGTTATCCACCATCCATTCCTGTCAAAAGTTTTTTAACACATCAGTCTCCAAAAGCAAATTCGGACATTCCCCTCTACCCTGGAAACAATGTTGGTTCACCTACAACAACATCCTGCTTGTGATGGATCACAAGGGAAACTGACAAACACTTGTTAAGAGTACTCTTATTTCAATTTGAAATTTACTACAGAACTTTTTAGAGATTTTTCTCAATAAATGATAGTTTAAGATTGATAGTCCATATGGAGTGGTACATTCATTTAGAAAATTTAAAGTGAAGCAATTCCGTTTTTTTCTCTGTCATTGTACTTCTACTTTTGCCATCCGAACCCAAACTCTGACCATCTTGAGCAGGATTTGGCAGCCACGAGACTTGATGATGTGACAGGATATATCCACCAACATAATTATTCAGCTTTTAATGCAAATCTCCCGTCCTGTACTTGACGTTGCTCATAGCCTTTTAGTTGCAAATTGTAACTATTACAAGTAAACCAGAAATCAGAGGTTTGCAATGTTTATAAAATCAGAAATCTTAGTATACTGAGATGCATTAGATCTTCGAATAGGAGAGGTTTTATCTTGATAACTAGATTTAATAAAACAGGTTTTGCTGGTCACGCTTGTTTTAATCACTTTAGTTGCTTACAGAGAGTATTAGGCCTACTCAAACAACTAAATTCAAATATCGAAATTGTCATTGCACTTACTGTATTAATCGAACTGACAATTTTGGTTTTCGTAGTCTGTTTTCTTCTGCGGTTGCAAGAATAATTTCTTTAGCTATGATTTCATCGACAAGAAGCTAAAGTTATTCCTACGAAAATTTTTGTTATAATTGTCTTTTGAATTACACTTTCAGGAGATGCCTGCTCGAGTTTTGCAACAACGAAGAAACAAGGCACATCTTCGTTTATTTTGTTGCTGAAAAGAGCAAAACACTGGTCGCATCATTCAGAGCCGCGTCTACCCTCCGATCTAAGGTTTTATTCTTTATAAAGACACAAAGTGCTGGGAAAATCACAAGGGATAATATAAATTCAGACATTTTCTACTGTTCATGTAGTCAAAATGCAGTGCAGCATCTTGAAATTCTTGCAAAAGAAATCTTCCTGCCGCTTCTAAGTATTGAACAGAATGGTGGGCCAAGTGCAGATAAACTGATGGACCTTGTACACAGGCTCATTAGCAGCTTGCAGATCATCAATGGCAACATCGAGGTAAGTATCAAGTCTATTTCTACGATGTACAGCATGGAGTTCTAGTCCTTTTCTGTGATAGATTATACTCAACCATATATAGCAAAAGTACCGAGATTTGAGTGGGTTTGGAATGATTCGCATAAATAAATAGCCATTGAAAAAATGAATTGTTTCTTTAGACGAAGAACGAAGGCAGATGAAGGTACTATTAAAAACATCTTGCTCGTAAAACTCTTCCTTTAAGCTTAAGCAACATCAACTATACATTAATTTTTTTTCTCAATGATGCCTAAAATTATGCAATGATGAAGCAAGCATGAAAACATATTTTAATTTTAATTAAAATCAATGAATGCAATTAGGTTTTTATTATTACAGGAAACAGCTTAGGTCAGGGAAATGATTTTGAAAGTTTCATTAATATAAAAATATATTTATTACTCGATCATTAAGTCACTTCTCGCGCTTTACAAATTGCAAATGTCTATCTTTCTAAATACAGGCTTTTCGGAAGTTTTGCTACAGCACTTATGAATGTGATATGAAAAGCGTTTCCAGAAAATTTCAACTCCTTCATTTGATAGTTTTGTATGTATGAGCTCCAAAGTCTAGACAGGAGACTATGAATAATAAACTAGGTTAGCAGCTTCTTATTAGTAAATATAAGTAAATATCAAAGATAAGGAGCTCGAAATTAAACAACAAGATATAAAATAAAATGGTTTTACTTCCTAGCCATTTTTGGAGGTACCAATGTGTCAGACGCCTTTTAAAATTGCTATTGAATGTAGTTTAAAAAGTTATGACAACTGCAGATTATGGCATGTCACCTCGAAGAGGTTATTTCATATGCCATCAAAAGATCTTAGATAAATTATAATTAAATTCCAGTAATTTCAATAGAAGATAAGGAAGATAAAGAAATTATAATTTTCAAGCATTTATTATTCTTTTTTTCCCTCCACAGCTGTAACGATAGTCAAAACTAACCTTCATAAAGAAACAAAAATACGTGATTGGTTTTAAACCAAAACAATTTTTTTGCTATAGGGTGAAGTGAACTTGCCGCTTCCTTCGATTGAAGTTCTTTCCGAAGCTGCAGCATACAGCCATAGAAAGCTGGTGGTGATACATATTCTTGAAACCTATTTGATTGGCTGGATAAAGCAAATTAAAGTAAATATCAAATGTTGAGAAATTGTCATATTTTGGCCTCTCCATGATTCAGACTTTCGAGCATCAAGATTTTCTCAGTCTTCACCATAGATTGCCATTTTTATGCCTTATGTTTTCCTTTTTTCGAAAATGTTTTCCTTGCGAAAGAGCAGTTTTCCTTTTTTCCAATCCATCACCCTAAAGTTTGAATAATAAGTGCAAATAAGCCCAAGAAACTTTTTCTTTTTGTGCTCTTTGGCTGTTTATTATTTCTAAAGTGTACAACACTTTTTCTAAATTTTCCCTTCCTTTTGTTTGATCTTTCCTCGTGACCATTTGCCTTGTAACCAAAACTATTGCATTTTTTTGTTAGAATTCACTAAAACTTGAGCCTGAAAGTGAGATCGCAAGACGCCATGGGAAGGAGCCCGGGCCTCTTTGTGAAGCTGAGGTAGGTTTTTTTGCACTAGTTAGTACTTCTAGTGAAATAGCTATGTCGTAAAATTCAAGAACAGTATGCTTTGAACGAGTGACTTGATTCCATTAATCCACGCAAAACGAGCTAAATGTAGCTTTTGGAAATGGGCATGGCATTGCATTGCACGTCTTGATTCAACGCTGTTTGATTTTAGGTTTGGGCAAATCATTTTGAAAAGATTCGGCGAATAAATGAGCAACTTTGTTCACCTGTGGTAGTAAATATTCTTATGAATTTGGAGGAGGCCAACAGCACATACGCACAGTCGTTTCACAACGTGAAAAGGGAAATCTCAAAAGTGAGCCTTGATTTTTAACTGGAATATCGAATACATATATTCATTTTTTTGCTTGATTTTGTAAATGTTACTACCAAGCTTCCAAACAGAAAAGATAAAGTTTTTTGCATTTTAAAAAGTCACTAGATTATTCAATCCAATTAAACTTTAAACATTTCAGTTCTTTGATCTTTTATTCTTTTCTGTTTGCTTAACTTTGTCTTATATCTATTACTTTACAAATGCAAATTTACAAATATTAGGCTTATTTCTGGCCTTTGTTGCCCTTCTCTTACCGTAATTGTATCTTAGCTGACAAGCCCTAACCATCTTATTAATTATCACATCAACCTTTTATTGTTCAGGCTGAGCGGGAAGCAGACGAGAACTTGCAGTTTTTGAGCACTATGACCCACTGGTTTGAGTCGCTGTCCTATTCAATACTCGCATCAGACATGATGCCAAATTTTGCTCCATTGATGCATACCCTCTTTTTGGTATGGCAACATTCCAGGTACGTCTTTTTGGTAGCTTGTTCTTTGTTTACGTTGATGCTTGCCTAAACGTTAATGTTCTAAGTTTTCGTCGTCGTTAATCCTCGTCATGATTTGATATCAGCCGTTTCCTGTTTTTTCCTACTTATTTTTTTCCATATGCATGGTAATTTTGAGCTGACCTTTCAGATATATGGTCTCCTGGGAGCCGGTGAAGGACAGATAACCGTTTCTAGCATTGGCTCTTTGTTTCCTACTTGATATTAACACCTTCTAACCATTTATCTTGTGCCCCAGATTTTTCCACAAGGGAAGCAACTTAACAAGGATGCTGCGAATGATCTCGAATCAGGTTGTCAAAAGAGCGAGAGACTTACTCGATTTCAGCGTCCTGGATGACCTGATCAGCGTAAGTTTTCTTTCGAATAGCTTTCTAATCTTAAAAAATTGAATTGATAGCGTCGCTATTGTGAGACATTTTAGTCAAAACAGATAGATACCAAGGAAAATCTTAGTCATCACAAATCACAACACCTGGAGAAAGTCATATGATTTTGCAGCTTGTATATTGTGAAGCAAAATAAACAATATTCCAATATTTTTCGCTAATTAATATATTCCATAAGTTAGTAGACACTGTTGCTTTTCAGGCACATTCCAATCTGAAAGAGGCTTTGCAGATTTGCGCATCATTTCGAGGCCGGTATCTTGACACCAAAGATAAAGCGGATGCTTTGAATCAGCAAAAACTTGCGGAACAAATTGGAACGAGGTATTTGTCTCGACAAATGAAATAGATTCTATGCCCCTTACCTTTAGTGACCGTAATTTGCAGGTAAAGCAGCTCGTGACTTCTGTTTATTTTAATCGTTTCATAATGGCTAACTTGAACTAATACTTGTCTTAGGTTATATAAATGAAGCTAATTTTCTTAGAAATGATATTGATTATCATAGAACTTAAAATGTGGCAAAGAATGAATTCAACAATAGAAATTTAGAAGAAATACTTGAAAATGCCTTAGTTTTTCTGGTTGAGAAACAAAGTCAAATTCAGCATCTCGTCTGAAAGAATGTTTACCAATCAGTGGTCTTTTGTACGGTAAATCTAAAAAAAAGTGAAAAGATGCCTTCTTTCTTTACAAAGAACTGATAGTGCTGGGGTCGTTTGGCACAGTCGCAAATTCCGGGAGGCCAAAACACAGCGCGGAACAACAGTATTCGGTAGAGAAAAGGACCAGAGATCGGAAAGTGAAAGCAACAGTGAGATGGTATGGGACGATTCTCCGTGGCCGGCCAGAAACAGTCCGGTTTTTGCTGGGCTTAATAGCTTCATGGAAAGGTGCAACGATGTACTAGAACTCGTTGAAACAACCAGGCATTTTCGCATGTTGAAGAACGCTGCTGAGGTTGGAGGAGCTGGTGGGCAAGGGCTTGATGCCATGGTTAGGGAGATTCATGGCCGCTTTGAGGTAGCAATGGCTCAGTTTAAAGAAACGGTCAAGGTAATGCAAACATTTTTAGCTAGCAATGGAGTATGGGTAAATTAGAGAATGGTATTTCAATAGAAAAAGTAACCATGTAAGAATTGGCTTCTTTGCTTTTTACTCCATGGAGAAGCATGAAAATCTGTTGTTAAATTTTGCTAAGTAAGAATGGGGCTTGCCCCCATTTTTTGCTTTTGCAGCTTGTTATTTCTAAAGCATTGCCATGTTTTGTAATCACAAGTGCCTCTTGTTTTAGCATCTTACCCAATTGCTGCTTATCATCTTACCTACATCCAATTGCTGCTTAAAGAAAGCTTCATTTCAAATCTGAATATTGTATGCTTGGAAGCTGTAATTACATAAAGGAACATAAATGTCATAAGACTGTACAATTTTTGATCAACTTTTTTAAAAAACGAAGATCTGTGTATAAGTTCTACATCATGCTACCTAAAGTGATTCCTTTTCGTTCCGACTGAATTTTTGTTATGATTTTTTCAAAGGACGTTTTGGATGTTGACCACTCCCAGCATTTCGAAAGGAGCTTCTTTGTGTTTCGTTCTGTCATTAGGGTAAGTGTTTTCATCCCGTCATGCAATTCGCTTCGAAAAGCAAGCAACCATTTATAGATTTTTTCAATCGTCATTTACAGGAGATCTTAGGTGTAGTATCAGTATTTCCTCGATGGTAGGGAAATGACCTGCTTTTCTCGTTCCTAATGCTATAGTTCTTGAGCCTGTCAGGTCATTTCACTAGTTGCATTACTTTCGTTGCTATGTTACGTTATGCTATGTTGCGTTTCATTACGTTACGTCACGTTACGTTACGTTAGGCCTTATCTTAAGTTTAGCTTTAAGTTACGTTATTGTGGTATGCCTTACGTTTAGTTTTATTTTGTAAAGGAACTGGAGAGTCGCCTTGGAGGGGTGCTGCAAGAGAGTTTTAAGCAGTGCTGGGATCTAAGATCAAGGCTCAGATTACTGGAAGTTTTTGAGGGGACGAGTAGTAGGGATCTCGTACAGGCAAGGACCGTAAAACTATACATTCGCTATATTCACATATATTCTATTATACTATTATACGAATTCACTTTTCTCTTGCTCTTATGACAATTTTAGCATAGAAGTCAATTTTATTATAACCAATAGTTAGATTTAGTCTTGGAATTTGTTTAGTCTTGCTTCCATAATTGGATATGAAGACACAGAAAACGCCCATTGTACCAGGGAAAAATGGATTGCCAACATGAATCCAGCAGCGAGAAACCCTCACAAGAATGAAAGGTCAACCTCGGAAATGAATCAGCTACATTAAAAGCAGCTGCACTTTTGAAGAGGAAAGTATTGAATTAGAAGTCTTTGTCTTTGAAATATTGAATTTAAAGCTGTGGAAGTTAATTTGCTTGATCTGATATTTTTAGAAAGAGATCAAACCAATAGTGGATACTTTTGTGCCTAATCTCACCGAAGACATAGTGAAAACGAGAGCGCTTTTCGAGTCTGGCATCAAAGTGACCCACATACACATACCTCCTCTGACGAACGAGCTCCTCTGGCTGGATTCACTGAAAGCAAGACTTAAGGCAAGCTTTTTCAGAGTGGTTTTTCATTTACAAGAAAAAAATGCACTTAACCATTGAAGTTGTCTAGACGTATTGGGCTATACAAAATTCACTGAAGTCTAAACAACGTCAAATAGATTCTTGAAATCTCTTGAAATTGCAGGATGCAGACTCATCAATAATGTTATCCAAATGCAATATTGAATAATTTCTAAACCGTTTTCTTAATCATTTATTATTTATCGAAGCTCCAGGCAATAGATTTTGTTTGATTCCATGCTTTTTAACATACGGACATAAGAACTTATGGAATATGTGAAATTGTTTCAAAATCGAAAGAAATCTGTGCTTTCATCTAAGTATGTCTTCAACAACAACAGCTTTCGATCTTTTTTGACAATTTTAAGTGCTTAGATCTTTGCATTTTGCCCTTCTGTTATTACGATGACGTCACGAACATCAACATTGTGTTTAGAATGGGTTGCCCGTGGTTGTCTAGATGAGTATCTCTGTTCCAATTTTCAATTGGTACATTACGAAGTTAACAAGGTTGCCTTAAGTTGACTTTTTATTCCCCCTCAGGTTACCATTGAAAAGCTAAAGTTAGTTTCACCCATTTCGTTGAAAGGGGATGAAGGCTGGAAAGTCAGAGATACATTTTCTGATCTGATAAAAGATATCGAGGCGTAAGTGGAACTACTTTGATAGTCTCCTTTTTGTTTCATTTGATTTGTTTACTTTCCATTCTTACATTTTCTTTTTGTTCCGTTTTGTGCTCGAGCCGCAAACCAAGACATGTTCCCGCGTGCATCATCAGACACACAGTTAAATACTGATCGTTAAAGATGCTTAGACATCCTAAATAGCAAAATTTCTGATCAAAAGTCGGTTGAAAACACTTTGGCTTGATGCTGTTTTTATTATTGAAAACATTTAGTTATGCAAGAGAATTGTGGCGTTTTTAATGCACTTCCATTTAGAATGTCTCTCGATGAATATTTAGTTTAATGCTAAAGTCAAAAAGCATTTTCATTTTAAAACAAGTACAGAATGACACATAACATCTTGGCAGGCCATGCAGGTGTATTGCCTGTTTACTCCTATGTATTGTCATGCAGATGTATTTGCTGTTGCAGCAACCAGCCTTAAACTTTCAGCATTTTTTACTCCTAAAATTGCATTTTGCCAACATTTTTGTAAATAGCCAACTAAATTCGTCTTATTTCCCAAGCTATATAGCTTCAATCTATTTGCATTAACGTATTATAGGAATTTGTGAATTTGTTTCTAAGTTTGATCTAAGTTCTAAGTGTGTCTTTCACAAGAGACGGCCAGTTGGTGAACAGCAAGGAATCAGTCAAGCGCGCCAATCTGGATTTAATTTCTGTTTTCCCTTCAGTTATTATTCAATGAGTGTCGGACTAATAGTTCTTAGGATGCTATATTTCCGCTTCTTCATGCCTCTTTCAATAAGCTTCGTACGAGCGCTTCGCTTCTCCATGACGTTGTGATGTCTTTACTTAGTATCACTTATTCTTTGTTGTAGTCTGCTCGTCACCCTCTTTTTACACAACTATGTTATATACAAACTTTAAAGTGGCAACGGAACTGCGATTACATGGAGCTGTTAATAACGATAGTCAACGATTTGTCCAAAGTTCAGCGATTGTCATATCGGGTTTCGTTTTTGATAAACAATTAAACTGTTCTACGAAGATAATTTCCATATCAATATAGTAATTTAAATATTTTATGTATTATCTTGTAGGGCTGAAAAATCGCTGTTTGAAAACTGGCAGACCAATGTAGGACCAGATCTTTTGCTACGATTAAAGAAGCCCCTTCTGGTATGTTTAACAAAGCTTTATACAGCTTTGAGCGATTACTTCGTGTCAGCGATGTAACATGTGATTGGAAAAGTAGCAAGTTTTAGATCTAATCCTCTTTTCTATGCAGCCTTTCGTCGTATATATGATTTTGTGCGTTTTTTATTATTTTGTGTACTGTTTGCTCAATCATTCTTGAAACAACATACTCAAATCAATTCTGAATTTTATTGACAAATAAAGATTCTGCGTTATTTATCAAATGCAATCTCTCATTTTCTAGATACACAGGGAGACAGGGGATGGGACACGGCACCTCGATGTCAATATCGATGACCAGCTACGCGAGATGCTGAAAGAGGTCCGCTATTTGCAGCTCCCACCACTTGATCTCAGGCTCCCAGATGTAATCCGGTCGTTGATACGAAATACAGACCCGGCTCTATTGCAGACCAATGCTGCTAGACTCAGTACAGTTGTCTCTCAATACAACACCGTTATCAGAATAGTTAATGACATCGAAAAGCCACTTTTTGAAGTCAAATTGTCCGCTGCTAAGCAGGTAATGTAGCACGAGAAATCAATTCCTTTCCTACATTTCTGTTGCAGTTTCATTTCAAACATAAAGCGCCCCATCAGTTGAATTCTTAGCTAGCTTATAATGTATAGAAGTCCTCGTGAGTTTTCGACACTACGAATAATATATTTTTCTATACCTTTCTGGAGGTCTTCGAAAAAAATCTTGCACGGTAAGAGAGATTATATTTAAAACAAAGGTAATTCAACCATGCCAAATTACTAAACTGATTGTAGTTGTATACGCAAATTGCAATCATATCTGGCGCGCTTATTTTCCCCACCCAAATTTTGTTCCATGCAAATTCCAACAGTGAATGTCACAACTATGAGCAAGGTACCTTGGCTTAAATTCTCCTGAAAATCACATTGAATCAATTTGAAAAGTGTTGCTAAGATATTACCTTCGTTTCGTATAACAAACCATCATTGAATTGATTAATGCTAATTCGATCCGTACCTGAAATATTTTCCAATTTTAAAAATCTGTCTTTTTGCATGATATAAGTAATTCAACATAAGGATTACCACTTCAACATCGTTTTCCAATTTACAGTTGCTTCAAGAGGGCCTAGACAGGTACTCGTGGCAGGACATTGAGTCAAAGGACTTCATTGAACGAGGAACGACTTTGATATGCAACGATCTTTACAACAATGTTAGCATCACCAAGAACAACCTGGCTGAGATCAAAAGGATCGCTGAATCGTGGACTGCCGGCCCTTTGGATGCGTTTTCTATGGTTAGCGACAAAGAAACATTATATATTGAAGAGTTGCATGATAAGCAAAGGTGAGTTACCTTGTCGCTTTGTAACAGCTGAAACAGCTGCCGTAAAATGACCTGTGAGCTGATCAGGACCATAGTGGAATAAAGCCTTGTCGAGTTCTAAGATCTTGGACCATTTCAAAGAGACTGAAGGCCACACATATGCATCTGCTGTCCCTGTCACGAAGCTCTGTTTATTTCTTCCAGTCTATTAGCACTTAGTTTTTCTTCATGAAATTATATAAGGAAATTATATTGTTTAAATGAAGTCTTTTTTGCTCAGGATCAACGGGGTTCCCACGCAAGAAACTTTCTGGCTATTATTTCATTATTTTATTTTCTGGCTATCAGAAACAGTACTTAAGACCAAGTATTATATTTAATGGAGCATTTACTTATTGAATGGAAGTATTCTGTTCCTCTGTTTGCCTGGGTAGTTTTGTAAGTCACTGAATAATAGTGGGCGTTTACTGTATGGATGGCTTACGTAAGCAATCTGCAAAAAGTTACAAATAAGACAATGTGCTGGGACACTCAAGACGATATCATATGCTAGCTTGCCAATACCAATTGCTGCCATTTTTAGTGTTATGGTTTGGGAATCGAGTATCACTTTGTTATTCTATATCATTTCACATGAAACTCAGAGCTGCAACTTAGAATCATTCTAATTTACAAACTAAAGCATGTACAGTTCTTGCGTCTTGTGTCATAAGGGTAAAAAGGAGTTCTTAGCATATTTGTTTTACATATATATTTACATTGTATGATTGCTATGTAGAAGTTAAGATTAATACATGATTGCTGCCCTTGTTTATGTATCTGTATTTTCCAGGCTAATGTAGTTTCGTTTCATTCTCAGGGAATCTTCTTCAGGTCTGTGTCACCAGATAGAGGTCGGAGGAAGGAGAATACACTCCCTGTTGCAGTCGACATTCGAGGCAGTGCAAATAAGCCGGGCATCACCAGTGTGGCTGCGTTACCTGGAGTACATATCTGGCATTGTTTACGAATGCCTTCGAAAGTCCATTCTCAGCTCTCTGCATTCAATGTTACATCGCATTGACCCATCAACAAGTGCAAAAGTATGCTTTAAACCAGCATGTATTTTTTCTTTTTGTAAACAATTTACGCAAGTATAACTTGGTATATTCTTACCACAAAAAACCAATAAGGCTTGTTTCCTAAGACGCTTTGTTAACCCTTATCAGTTTCCCTATTCAATATTGTTTCAGCAAAGCGCTGTCTGATAAGAACATTTTATCGCTGAGCAAAATTATTTTTCATTAATAGATTTCTGTGAATAAAATTATGCTGAATTTTAAATATATGAAAAGAGTGCTTTACGTTGCAGATCCATTTAGGAACTTTAATTGCAAAATATTACATTTCATTTCAGCCGATTCTCGCTATTCGTTTGGAGTTGGTGGCATCTGAGATCACTTTCATTCCGCCATTGAATAATTCATTGGCTTCAAGATCTTTGCAAGAATTTGTCGAGATTTGGCTCGATAGTTATCTGGCAAGGGCCTCTTACGTCATGCCTATTTGTCAAAACGAGGTAGGCCGCTAATACTTTATGTAAGAAGGTACTACCGATGTAATGATACTGTCATGTTTATATCTATGTATAGAAAATCAAATAGAGTTTCCCTTAAATTGCTGCTATTAAAACCATCACCTTTCAATGTATCGAAGAAGATCATATGAGACAGTTACTCGAAATAATATCGTGGAGATTTCCTTTTTGCTGCACTATTGTAATAATTGCATTTAATTCTACGCAAATGGCATTAGCATCATTTTTCCAAACTGCAAGGAATTCACGCTCAAAAAAGTGTCCAAGGACTCGTTTATGTCTGAAATCGCTCGCACTATTTCAATTAATGTCAGGGTATTTGGCTCAATTTTTTCGTCTTCTTTTGCTTATACATGAAGCAAATTTTCCTTTGTCTATCAGGATTTCAAACAAATGGTGAAACTCGACTACGAAATTTCAGAAATAAATGAGAAAATTTACTCCATAGTAAATGAAAAAGTCGACGACTGCAAGGTGAGATATTTAGCATTTAAAATTTCAACTTTATTTATTGTTTCAATGTTTAAACATGAATAAAAGTGAAACATGAAAGCCAGTTAGGTAGAGGCGACAAAATACATGTGATGTACCGTAAAAGCTCTATTGAGCCCCCCTCTCTATTAAGCCCCCTCTCTATTAAGCCCCCTCTCTATTAATTCCCCCCATATCAAGCAAAAACTTTAAATAAGCCCCCCTCTTTGGCCTTTGATGTCAAACATAGAAAACATGCCCATCTAGAGGGTCTCTTAACAAGACTAACTTGTGCGTCTAAGAAGTCAGTTGAAATTTGTTTAGAAGATATCCAAGGGTTGGTTATCAATTTACCCTGGTGATTCTGATGAAGATAAGGAGCCTGTAATTGATTTATTAGACTTTCAAAGCGGCTAGCAAAGTTTTTTGAGAACATTTGTATGACATTTTCATAACAAAAAATGGCCAAGGGTGTTTTTAAAACTTTTTTTGTCTCAAAATTTTAATAAGCCCCCTCTCTCTAATAAATTCCTTCCTCTTTTAAGCCTCCCTCTAGGACTGAAAAAAATAAATAAGCCCCCCCCCCCCCGCGGGCCTAATAGAGCTTTTATAGTAAATGGAAATGTTTGAGCTGATGAGATTATTAATTTATGTTAACATAGGTAAGGTTGGAAAATTTGCACGAATCTTTTGTTTTTTTCTAGAAATATTTGGAAACTTTTAAAGACTACGCGTTTCTCTGGCTTCAAGATGTCAAAATGACATTTGATGAATTTTTGAAAGGCAACATCAGCTCAAGGACATCAGCTTCCAGAACAGAAGATGTGAAATCTTCATTGTCAAATAGTTCAAAGAAAGACAAGGATGTTCAGAAAGGGTAAAGCTAGTTATGAAACATAGGGTCTATTGTACTTATCAGCTAATAGCAGCGGTCCTTGCAAACTGAATCTTGTCTGAAACAAGATACTTTCACAATTCATTGCATAATGTTTTAAAATGCTTTTTTACTTTGGATTTTAATTGGCCTGAAGATCAAATTATCCACCATTAACGCTAATTATGAATATTTCTTTGCAAAGTTTAAAAACGATAGGCCTGGACAGATCATAAGGTTGCTCTCTTTCATTTTGATAATCCGAACTTGTAAAATCGTGTCCCTTTGTAATTGCTGCCAATTTTTATTTAAAAATTACCAATATGTACAGTGGCGTAACGGAACAGTTTGGGGCCCTTAGGAATTTTTTGCTTGGGGGCCCTTTCACAATGGGGGCCCTTTCAAAAGACAGAAATTACGAAATCAGCAAGATAAATACTTTACTCCATAAATTGAAGAATCAAAAGGAACAAAACAATTTTAGATAGCAAAATCGTAACAAGAAAGAGGTTAGATAACAGGCAAATGCTCAAAGTCACAGGATATGTTTATATCTACGGGCATTCATTCTGGCGAAAGTGTCGATTAGCTGCACTTTATCGATTGACCTTGCTTTCTCGTTCTCGATGGAAAGAATTGATACATCAAGTAATCTCTCCTGAGCCATGCCTGACCTCAAATCTGTTTTTGTCAATTTGAGCTTCGAAAAAGATCTCTCAGCGGTAGCTACAGTGACAGGAATTGTGTCGAAAAGAAAAAGTGCTTTGTAGAGCTGACTCGACTTTCAAACATCAAATCAACCAAGTCTACAACTGTCCATTTCTCTTTTATTTCCACGCGAAACTCGTTGACAAATGCCCGTAGCTCTGATTCAAAGTCCTCTGTAAAATCTTTACAGGCTCAGCAAGTTGTTTGATGCTTTGGAGATGAAAATATTGTCCTCAAATACTCCAATAACGGAACTTCTACTTCTACATTTTGGCTTTAAATCGACTACTATGTGCCAAGCACTAGCTAAAGCAGACGCAGTTTGCTTAACAGAGTCCCAGGACTCGCGTAACACAACAAGCTTTGAAATAGAGCAACATATCAATCGAGATGCAAAAGTTAAGTCAATTTTTGGGGATTGCAATCATTTTTGTTTTTTGATGCCAAGGTAATGCGAGTTAAAACTGTCATGATATGTGGATATCTTTCACGGACAGCACGAGCAGAATCAATACGAGAGGTCCACCTTGTGACACACAACTTCTTAAGTGTCAAAGATCCTGCGAAACTTTCAACCAACCCTGAGTTCTTCCAATCTATTCAATGATGAACCGAAAAGATTAAAAACATTCTTCAATGTCCCAAAGAAATCATCATTCTCCGGTACTGCCCCCACGGAGTCACTAATGACCAGATTTTATCATCCTTTATCTGGACTTAACGGTCCACAAGGCTTAACTGATCTTATATCACTAGTAGAGTCTAAAGTCAAAGACCAGAATAGTGCCTTGTTGATCTTTTGAACAAGAGATGAAGTAACTGCTTTAGACAGAAGTCCAATAATTTCGTTTTGAATTTTCGCACTCAAATATTTTGTAGCTCTTGCAGGGAGGGAAATTGCTTCAGAAAGGACTTCATCATACCCTGCTAGCAAAGCAACTAATCCAAGAAAGTTTCCACCCTTGCAATTGCCTTCGAAAGCCTCTTCTCTGTGTCCTCTTAATGCCAGATTTAATGTTGTCAGGGTAAGAATTATCGATATAATACGATCAAGCACTTTGACCCAAAAACATGAGCTTCGACGTAGCTTCGACGACGTAGCAGTAAACTTTCTTTTATCTCGTCTAAAGTTTTACCGCACTTCCATTTAAGATAAACTGCCGACGACTCAATATGATTTGCAGTTCTCTCATGCTTTTTATCTTCTCTAGCATGCTGTGAGTCGAGCCAGATACACCATTCACCCAAGCCATATCATCAAATATTTGCTTCGATCTATCAGCAAAAATCCAGTATACTTCACAGAAGGGCTTCATCCATTCCATGGAATAGCAAAGCCAGCTTCTCGGTTCTTGAATATTATTCACAAATTGGTGGTAGTAACTCGATTTGAAGTTTGTGATCATCTTCCCATATTCATCTTTATACTGATAATGCCCCATTGGTCTGCAAGACCCGTACATGAGAATTTCCCTTTTAAGTGCAGCATCTTGAATTGTACTTGGATAATGACCCAGATCAGTGGGATAATTTTTGGTTATATCGAATTTGAATTGTGTATCTGCAGCCAAATTTTTCTCCTTTAACTTGCTAAAGGTTTTAGAGTTAGTCTCAAAATTAGACCTTCGTTCTTCTTCTATGTTTTCTCCGACGCCAAGCCCCTCTTCTTCCACATAAGCAGTACTTTCAATAAATTCAACGGGACATTCTGAAATTGACGTCGGTGAAGCTGGGTTTGAGATATCTTCTTTCTTTCTTCTAGATTTCTCGAGTGAAAAAATGTTGCTATTTTCCTTGTATTGGAATGAGCAGCTTCAATTTTTCGTTTCTTTTTTACTCTTTTGGAAGCTCCAGAATTATATTTTCGTTTTGAAGACATTTTAGCGAAATGATTTATAAAAGATTGTGAAGTTTGAAACAGCCGTTATACACTTGTGGACCTCACACAATAAAGAAACTGCTGGTCTTTAATTACTCGGAGTCTGTATTCATAATTCTAACGGAACTTTCACTTCATCGAAGGGAAAGCATCAGGATTTAGGATACAGCGGTGGTTTTTAAAAAGTTAGAGGAAAAGAAGCAACCTGTTAATGGGGGAATATTGACTTTTTTAAATCCCTTTTCACAGCAAATAGTGCAAAAAAGCCTGTTTCTTGAAAATCTTTGGGGGACCGTTAGGAGTCGGTTACGTCACTGCGTATGTACCATTTGTAGGGTCGCAAATATGTCCGCACTTTCAACATTTTTAATCGTCAGAATTTCCCTTTCAATCATTTTCTCACGTTGGTTATAATTTCTAGAAGCTCAAGTCGCGCATCGTCCGCCATAACAACTCTGAATAGCACGACGATGGGAACTGTTGCGCTGAGCGAGAGAACTTTGTTGGCAGTGAAAAGATTGAAGCTTTCAAAGGAAGACAACGCTCCTAGTCTGGATGATTTTGACAGGGAAATGGAGGTCTACAGGGTACGCATGGTCTTGTGAATATCTGGGATTGAAGTAGTACCTAGAAAAGAATCTTTTTCCACACATTTATTACTCATTAAATCTTTGTTTGTCAAATATGTTCTTCTCGATGACCATGATACAAATATATATTTAGATTTCTTTAGTTATTATTTATTGAAATGCCATAAATATTTTCCATGTTGTAATTATAATCATATCGATATTATTATGTTTTTTCATGTATCATGATTTAAGAGGATTTTCATAGAATTTACGTTGCTGTGTTTTGAACTTCGCAGGTCGCCAGAGATGAGATACATGCGGCTGCAGAAAGTTCACGAGTTGGTTGGATTACAGTTAACATGCAGCCTGTAAAGCAGACCATTGAGACATATGCCAGTAAATGGGTCTTCACATTCACAAAATACCTCACCGATCAGGCAAGTTTTTTTGCTCAATAAACTCCTTCAAAGATATATGGTTAAAATTATCTTTGATAACAAAATGCCTAAGCATGATATAGTAAACTTAAAACTATTCCCCAGCTGTATGTTTTTAAAGAATCGATGTTTAAATTTTTTCCAGGTCTCCAGTGCATTGAATGATCTGGATTCATTTCTCAAGAGAATCGAGCCGGGGGTAGAAGCAATCACTGGGGAAGAGCGCGATATTTTCTCTTTTATGCGACTGATGAGGATTTTCAACGAGGTGAATGAATGGGCTACTTCCCTGTAAACATGTCTAGGAACATAAGTTGTACACATGGCATGCTATTTCATATAAAGTTCCATTGTCCTGTAAAGGATATAATGTAATTTAAGTTTTTGAAGGCTAAAATATCAGTTTTGAAGCAAGCCTATGGCCCTAAAGATTATATCATTAAGCTGGTTATTCATGCTTTGTACTCACAAAATGCTTTGGAAAATTGAAGATTTTTATTCAATATATTTTGCCAATTCATTTCATGTTATTTCAATTGCTGTTAAGTTCATTTAATTAATTTCTTTGATTTTCTTTCATTTTGTGCCCGTTACTAGCTAAATTAACTGAAATTATCGACTACTTATTAAATATCTTCTGCGTGATTCATATTAATCGAAATACCTTTATTCATTATATCTAAATAACTTTTCAAGGTTACAGCACAACAGACAGAGCTAGATACTAAGTTTGCCACTATGAAAAGAACTTTATCATTGCTTGAGAAATATGAGCAGAAACTTCCAGAAACCACTCAAAAGTTCTACGCTGCTGCTCCTCTCAGGTAAACATCAAAGCAAACTGGACTTCTTATTTTCTGATTTAAAAAAGTGTTTTCTGATGATTTTATGAAAATTATACGCAAGCAAATTTTTTATTAAAGCCTTTTAAAGGATGCGATTTTGTACTCTGTATCGCAGTTTATCTATGAACGTTTGTAAATTTAAATTTCATTACACCGAAAGATGCCCAAAATCAAACTAATTATCTTGTTTAGATTACGTTATTGTAACACAAGAAGATTGTTATTTTGCTGTGATCTCTTTTACTAAAAGTACGGACGTTTTATGTATAATAGTTTGAGTTGAGTTGAGTTCTACAATTTAAGCTTGCACTGTCTTACTTGTGAAAATAGGCTTTAAAAAAGTCTCTGCCACCTGATGTATAATTATTATGTTGCATTCTTTTTTTTCTCAAATCGGAGTCCTTAAAAGTTGCCAATTGAGCTACTGGGCCTCTTTTTCTTGGATCGCACTCCTCCCTCGGTTTTGTTAAAGAAAGCATTTATGCATTCAGTAACTTGATGTAATAGATTGAGGTATTGATGCTTGAATTTAAAATATCTGAAAATTCGTCTTCTCGATGCAATATTTTTGTTTAGATGGAACAATCTCAAGATGAAAGTGAACCAAGCAAAGCAAAGACTTGGGCCAAGGATCCAAGCTGAGGCTGAAAGCGTGACAAAGGTACTTGCCTAGCTAATATCTCATTTTAAATCAAATCTAGTTTTGCAAATTTTTAAGACTGCTGGTGATATGGATTAAGATTAACTGCCATTCGCTAGTTCCCACCTGTTTATTTGTAATTTGGAGCAAAATTTAATTTGATTTCTGCGCGTAAGTTTTTGTTTAGATTTTCACCAGCGTTCAGTGTAACCCAATGAAATCAGTTTTTCTTTTTTGGTTTTACTGTCATTGCAGATTTAATTAACAATTGAAAAGGGAACTTTTAGCTAGCCACCTAATACATTAAATAAAGCATGCCTTGAGGATACTAAAGTTGTTAGTTAGAGTCTATAATTAAAGTTGGTTATCAGCTAGTGCACTTGTTGATTTTCACACGTTTTCATACGTTACGTTTACTAAACCTGGTTGCAGAGATTTTCTCTTTTTAAGAGATGCAAAGAATACTGGAAAATACCAGTCTTATGGTTTATACTCCGCAAAGTAAACAAAAATTTTGCTATACCTAAAGGTACTTTTGCTTCAGGAGGCCTGAAAATGGTCTTGATATTATAATTTTTGATTTCGATTTTCAGACCCTTCAGAAGTTTGGAGAACGTTGCTTGCAGTTGGACTATGACTTCAGGGCCAGTGAGGCTTTTAAGAGGTCCTGCCGCGTGTACGCTGCGCACAACATCATGGACTCGATTGAAAAGAGCCTAAACACTATTGAAGGCGAAGCACAAGTCAGTTTATTAATGTACTTTTTTGTCAATTAGTTCCTTAGTCAATGAGAATAGCTATATGGCCATACTTTGGTTCCCCATATCACTGCTATTCAAAGTAGTTTTTAACACGTTCACATAGAATGCATTTAGTCGTAGTACATATGTCTAATAAAGCTTTCACGTCATTATTGTAGGATCTTGTTGAGTTGCAAGAGCTACTGGAAGAAGAAATTGTTGACTTCTCAATATTGCCAAGGTAGGGTTTCATATAGAATTTATCAAAACCCGAGAAGATAGTCTTGATGAAAATGTTGTTGCTTGTGAATTTGATACAAGCACAGAATTTCAAAAAAATTACCCTCTGCCGATCTCAAATTATATAGATTCTGCATTTCTTTAATTAATGTAACCGTCTTTAGAGATATCAACGAACTAAAGCTATTTTACTGATTGTATTTTAGCCTTCGCTCTGATCTTGGAATTTTGCGACAGGTTTGGGAAACTGCAAAGTAAGTCATGACAGATTTATGATCCTAATTTCTACATTCATGAAGTTCTCTTAAACTAGTTAAATGATTGGGGCTCAGTCAAAGATATACGGATTTTCCGCTTTTGGGAGATCAGAATAGAACGTTAACGGAAAAAGAAGCGATGCATGGCAATTGTTTTTTTAAATAGTCCCCTTCTGATAAATTCAGCTTTTTTTGCAAACTAAAGTCTGAACATTTTTATGAAGGTAACTGTTGATTTCACTGTCGTTTTTTGGTAAAGGTGGAGATATGAAATATGGTTGAAGTATGAAATATGGAAATATAATATTTTATGAATGCAGCAAAACCATGAAGATTTAACATGCTGCATGGTTAGTTAAAAGAGGGAGCATCTTCAACCTTTTGAATCGTATTTGATTATTGATAAAGTTTGATTATTGATAAAATTTATTGCAAATGTTTGCAATACTCGAGTATTTTGATCTACTACTTCTACTCGGACAAAGCAATGTTGTAACTGATGAAACAAAATTTAAAGATTTATGGTTAAATTTGTATTATATTTTTATTTAGGGTGATTCAAGAGCAGCAAAGTGACTGGAAGAGACATCGATGGCAAAAAATTAGGCCTAAGCTACTTCGAAAACTGCTTGGGCAACAAGAGGAGTTACTGAAACAATTGCCCGAGAAGGCAATTGGCTGGGATGTTACTATTGGTGTGCAGCAGTCAATCGAGCGAATGCAGGTGAGTCCTGTGCCAATTGCTCCGCTACCAAAACGTAATATATCCGCGTCTTGTTTTAGCAATGTCTTTTGTCTGCCAAGAATATTTTTAATAATTGGCCTATTTGCATTTGGATCCATGTGCATTCATTGATGACATTCATTCAAGAAGTGAATTGACAGTTAAATCGTTTATTCAAAGAAACAGGGCATCTGTTTTAGAACATGAAAAAGGTTCGACAAAACATTCAAAACTTTTTAAGGTCCCTTGTAAGAAAATCATTGCGAAGACATGAGTTCTCAATGAGAAAGGCGGATAGCATTTACTGAGAGAAGTCTTATTTAGAACGTAACAAGGAACGTTCGGGATATTTCTCAGTATGTTATCACCAGTAAATGTTTAGAAAACTCTCCTAAGCCGCCGTATCTTCAATTGGCTGGCTTTTTGCTTTCTAGTCTTGTGTGCCAATTATGGAGGACCTTAGCAAAGCAGCAATGAGGACTCGTCACTGGAAGCAGCTGGTGCGGGCAACTGGAGGTGCAGTGAATATCAGCAGTGATGGATTGACAAAGATGACCTTAGGACAGTTCATTGGTCTTGGGCTACAGAACCATGCAGACGAGGTTCGCGGTGTGATTCAGAGGGCAGCTAAAGATGTCGGCATTGAAAAGGCTTTGAAAACATATGAAGAAGTTTGGTTGAGTAAAATGTTTGAGTTGGTCAAACACACAAGATTGTCAACTGGATTTTCAAATATTATGCCTACTCATGATGTGAGTACGGACTGCTTCATTAGCAATTTACCCGTCAGAGAAAAACGACTCTTGAAAATTGCCAACATGAGAAAACATGTTGCCAGCGTGTATCTTTCATTTGAATTTAGAATCCATTTCTTCAGTAAGTTGTTGTGTTCAATGTCTTTATAGAGGAAATTTGAAGACCACGTGATAACCACGGTCAGAAATTTGCTGGCATGACATTCTTGTCGAAATATTAAACTTCTTTAGAAGGTCAAAATATGTCGATGAAAACCCTTGTTATTATAGGAAAGGAAATCCGAAAGCTTTTGATATGTTTCTTGCTGATCAAGGTGATTAACTCTTACACTTCAATTTTGTCTAATAGTTTTCATGGTACGATTCTTTTCTAGACACCTGCGAGTGAATATGGCAACGATTCTGATCACGGCATGATAAGCGGAGTACGTCACTCTGGCAGTCGCGTGTCATTGGCTAGCCTTGGATTGCGATCGGATTCGAGGCTACGAGCAACTTCAATCCTGTCTTTTACTTCAAAGCGTCCATCTATTCTCAACATTATGGTAACTTAGTTTTAGAAAAACATTTCACTGAGCTGTAACTAAGATGATTGTTATAATTGCGTTGTAGTACGAGTCTTTATTTGTCGAGCAGACGGGATATAATTTTGTTTAAGAGAAATAAGATTGATATAAGAGAAATTGAAAGTAAATTCAGTAGAGAAGACTTGTTGACTTCTTTTTTAAATACATTTAACTGTGGTAATTCGCTACAGCCGTATTTTCGTTTTCTGCGTATAGCTGTTATTCATACTGTTAGTTAAAGAAAATAATGTGACCAATCAATCAAACAGAAAACTAAACGACGAATAGAGTAAGGCGTATTCTTTCCGGAATGAAGAATAACTACATCTTTTCACTTCTTAATGAAAATATACCCACTATTAAATCAAATTGATGTAGATCAGTCTTTTTGAAAATTTTTCAGGAACTTGGAGAAGTACTGTTACTGAAAAATATCGAACCTATTCTAGAAGAACTAGAGCTGCATCAGGTAAAAACCATATACTTTATTGGTGCGTTTTGGCGTTTTATATGAATGGCAAACATTCACAAGGATTGTAGATAGATTTGGTTGTAGATAGGCAAGCTGACATCTCAAGAACAAGAGGTTCCAAAGCTGTTTTTCCGCTGAAGTCTGACTCAAAGGTATATAAATAATTGTTCAAGGTTTGTTGATAGACTTACTAATTCACACAGATTAAATTGAAAGTCGGTTTTTCCCCTAGTTGTCTCTTCAATCAATGCTTGGTGGAAGTGCTGCAAGCTCCTTTGCTGACGACATAGTCAAGTGGCAGAAGACGTTGCAGAATCTTGAAGCAGTTTTGAATCTGTGGTGGGAATCACAACAGAAATGGATCAAACTTGATGATGTAAGATCTACCATATTCCTGATTCCATCTCAAATATTTTGATTCATCAGGCGATACGTAATGTAGATGTTGGAAAAATATAGTGGAATTAAAGTAAAATTGCGATATTTATGATAAAAGCATTTAGCCATCTATTTTTAACATGCATTTCAATATTTTGTCGTATGTTTAAAAAACCCTGGAAATTCCCAGGCAACAGAATCAGGTCAAAAGATTTCCTCAGCACTCTAAAACGTTTTAGATACAGCTTTTAAAACTTGAAATATAATGATTACTTTTCTCGTTTTTTAAAGTCCAATTTTAGCTATCTGTTAATTTTTTTGTCTTGTCATCTTGCAATCATCAATCTGATGTCAGTTTCATTTCCTGGTGTGAAACCGAAATTATCAGAATTTCCTCATGTGTACCCTAATGAAACTATTTTATTCATATTTAGCTGTATAATGGAAACGAGTGCAGAGTTGCATTGCCGAAGGAAACCAATTTTTTTGCTTCGTCCAGTCATGAATTTAGACAAATCTTGAAGCTGGCTGAAAAAAATCCGAATGTCCTGCAAATATGTACGAGAGAAGGTATATTTAAAAGGAGTAATTCAGTTTGAATTATGTTTGTTTTTCGTATGCTCGTGTAATTCAACTAAAAAACTTAACTCAATAGGTAATTTTTTCGTATTTCTTGTAGACATACTGCCAAGGCTGGAGAAGATCAACATAAATTTTGAAACATGTTTAAAGGCCTTAACAACGCAGCTGGAGAGAAGAAAGCAGAAATTTCCAAGACTTTATCTCATGTCGCAAGAGGAAGTTCTAAACATAGTTTGTAAAGGTATTTGCTCTTTTTAAGTTGGTTGGTAATATTCAATGAAATGAATTTTACAGAATATTGATACCTTAGTCATGCGAATTCGGTTAGAAATTATGATAATTGAATTTAATTCGTGGCCAAGAATATTATTATCAACTGTAGAATTAAATATTACAGCTTTAATATGTATAACAATCAAATAAAATTATATTCACAATTATAATTTTAAATTTCAGCATTATTACCGGGCTTACACATAACTGATAAACCATGGTATTTCTGAGATTCAAAAACCTTCTGCTTTGCATTAAGCATTTTTGAATTGCCATCGATTGCTTTTCTACAGCATTGCTTCTTACAGCCGTTTCACTGTAAACCGTTTCACTAATTCTTAACTACTGTTTTTTTAGGGTATGATCCAGGTTTGGTAAATCCCTATTTTTCAAAAATCTTGCGCAATGCATGTGTAATGGATTACGAGGTGCATGACACAGAAGAACGAAAGTTTTATAAAATCACTGGTATTCGAAGTTTGCATGGAGAGATTCTGAAATTTGTCAAGGTATTTCGTAATTTATTTCTGTTCCATATAATTTTTTTCTCCTTTGAAAATATGAAATTGCAGATTTTTCTTTGAATACCAATTGAATTTAGGGTTTTGTTAAAGTTTCAGTCTTCTTGTAGTCTTTTTGCACATAAGTGAAAAGGCAATTTAGATTTAAGAATAGCCAAGACAATACTGTCAGTATTTCCTTATGTTGCTTCAATTTTCAAGATTTCCTTGGTAATTCATTGTCAAGGTAATTAAAAACAGGGTTGAGGATATTTTATCTCGAATGTTTTCAAGATGCAGTTATTTTCTCTAAAAGTATTGTTATTCTGTAATAAGATAACTGTTTATGCAAGTGACTGTGCCCTATATAAAGATATTCTTTTATTCATTTGTATTTGTATTTGCAAAACAATGCATTCGAAAACATGCATGCGAGTTACAAAATAGTTGCTGATAAAAGACAATCAGGTGGTCAACCAGTCAAGCTAGGAACATGGCCAGCCAAGCTAATGCTGTAGTAAATGCAATAGGGGTGCATTTCTATTTAGATTTAGTGTCACATTTTACTTCTGGAATCCAACATTTTTTCTTACGTGAACTAGTAGAAGTATGCTCGTGGAATGCTCCTCATTTTTCAATAAACAATAATAAATGCAAAATTAGGAAGAGCTTTTGATGAGCTGTTTGTAAGTGTAAGCTGGGGCTGTAAGTAAATAAAACTTGATACACAGCGAAGTTCCAATAATAACAACTTTTCTATTTTACAATTGAGCAAAGCGAAGCAAACAACAGCAGGCGTCAATCCAGCAACGTGTTATCACTATCGGAGTGATGCTAGATACTACAAGCGTGATTAATGACTCAACAATAGATTTCGATCGTTAGGCTGTCAATTAACCTTCTCACATAAGACCCCTCATCTTGAAGGCAGACAATGACACTATCAATTGAATAACGATCAGCATTCAAGCTTTTACTCAAAAGCACAGAATGTTCCTTTTTCTATCTGGGTATGTTTGGTTGCATCAACACAGCTGCTTAGCACTTGTGCACGTTTCGCCTATGTTTAAATACACTGCTGATACACATGGTACACCTTCGTTTCCTTTGATTGTTGGGCTATCTTGTAATACTTTGTATCTTGTAGTAACATATCTTTTCATTTCTTTGTACTAATAGAAGTAACTTACAATAAAGAACCTTTAAGAGAATCTTGACCCTCCTGATAAATATTTGATATGTCTATTTTGTTTGCAGCCGGTAGACTGCGATTCAGTGGTTGAGAACTGGCTGAATGCTGTGGTAAGCGCAGTCAAGATGACATTGCAAGTTAGCCTGGCATCGGCATTGGGAATGCCATTACCTGACAGTATCAGAATTGGCCTGATGTCACGTGAATCAACAACACACGGAAAGATGGAGTCGAAGATCAAAAAGTCTCCTTCTCCGCAACAACGAAAGGTTCTCTTTGCGCAAGAGCCAAAGGTAATTGGTGACCTAGAGAACACTGCGCGTGAGGAGAGGAGATAAGTCTGCCTTCATCGTGGTCTTTGAGAAACCTTAATGAGATCGTCCTTTTGGCGTTGCAAATAGAGCTCACCCAGAAGCTAGAGAAGTGTTTTGAAGAATGCCAGGCTGGGGATAAAGATGCACTTCCAGGCATGCAGCAGCATTTATCTGCCATCTTGCAATCAGCTGCTGCATTGCTGCAAGGCTCAAACGGCAATGATCTTGATGATTACGTGCTTAAACAAAGAACAAAGGTTGCCGACGATTCCAATACGGAACAGGTTGATGACGATTTTACTGTAGAGAAAGATGAAATCCTTCACGCGAAGCAAGAAATAAGAATCTTCTTAACTCCAAGTCAAATGCAAAAACTGACAAACTTGATATTTGTACTTTCCAACAAGCGCGATCTTACTCAAAAGCTCTCTAAAGTTATTAGCTCCACTGATCAGAATGGCAACGAGGGTATGACACAGCTAGCAAGAATGTTCGAGTGGCAATCTCAGTTGAAGTATTACTGGTCACAAGACAGTGCAACTTGCAGGATATCTGTGATGGATTACGACTGCGATTACGGCTTTGAGTACCAAGGAACAGCGGCTAGAATTGTGAATACACCAGAGTCAGAGAAAGCTGTGTTTTGGATGACCCAATCGATGCTTAATCGGTCGCCAGTTCTTCTTGTTGGATCCACTGTAAGGCTTTTACCTTCATTCAATTTTAAAAGCTCTTCATCCAATTGCTTGATTCGACAGTTGATAGAAATTATCCAATTTCACTAGTTTTCTTAAATCTATTTAATTTTCTAGAGAGAGCCAAAAAGCTACGTAGGAATTTTAGAGAAAAAAACATCTAGAAATCATTATTGTTTCCTAATTTCTTGTTTAACGAAGTGTATCTTATTCTTTAATTTGTGTTTATCACTACTTAGCTTCAGAAGGTATTTGTTAGAAAACTGAGAAGCTGTGCGTATTGGGATAAGCTTATCTTGGTTTTTACGCCCGATATGAGATCACCCCGTGATTCCCACGCCTGTAATTCCTCAGTCTATGTGAATGTTTCGTCATGTCAGTGCTGCCTGTTCGAAGCCTCAAAACCTTTAATGCAAATGTTTTCTTTTCTTCTGCTTTCACCCTAGAGGATTTGATTAATACGTACACATGAAACGACATTTCTCCTTCCAAACAACTTCAAAATGTACTTGATCTAGTTTAGGCACCTTTAGTCTTTACTTTACTTTAAAAGCAGCAAACAGCACCTCGAAGGCATTTTTTAGAACAAGGTTTTAGGCTTGATGGATGCTGCTATAGCAGTTGCTTCACAGAAAAACACTAGAATAACTCAGAAAGGAGGTTTAGCATTTGCTTTAAAATAAATTGTAAATTCATATTTCACTTCCCAGGTTTCCAGCCGAAATGAGATGCTTTTAGAGTTGTCAAACGCATTCGGATTTCCAGCTTTCCAATTCGTTTGCTCAGAGAATTTAAGCACCAAACAAATTGGCGAAGTTTTTAAGGGAATTGCAGCCACAGGTGAATATCATATTAGGAGCTTTAATTCTACAACAAGGGTGGATAAAAATAACTGTAATATTGTGAGGCCATGAGTGGAGACTCACAGAAATTATTGACGAATGCATTTGTCTCCGTTTAAATTGATAGATTGCAATTTTGCCATCCATCCGGCCTGAAAATGTTTCATGGTACACTAATGTGCTCAATCTCTTTTTAATATTTCGTTTAATGATCTTGGATATGTAATTCCTTGGGTATTCAGGTATCAGCATAGATATTTCATTTCTTTGTCAACTGCTTTATAATAATATGCAGTTTCATGTGGCCTTATCTCCAATTTCTAGGTTCATGGGGTATTTTTGCAAACTTAGATAGACTCTCAAACTCTGCATTGTCGGTGATTACTCAGTTGGTTGCCAGGATAAACCAGAGTCTACAGGCGAAGAAATCGACATTCACAATGCTTGATGACGAGCTATCATTGTCTTGCAATGCAAAGGTATTCGCGTGCATGGATCTTTGCGGAGAAGTCGCCGACAACAAAGCCCCTAGTTTCTTCCCTAACATTACGTCATCGCTGTATACCGTTCCGGCTGGCCTGCTTGCAAAGTTCAGAATCGTTTGTCTTTCGACACCTGACATCGAAACAATCGTAAAAATGCATTTAATGGTACACGGGTTTAGTTATAACGAAAATCTTGCACACAGCCTTGCCAATATATATTCTATATGGTCAAAACTTGCCATGGTGGAGGCAGCCCCGTCGGTTAGAGCTCTTTGCAGTATGGTAAGCGATGCTGGCGATCACCTTGATCAGCTAAAAGCCTTAGAGCTTGCTGAAACTTACTACGAGCAAGATCCTATGCAGGATAAAGACAGGGAAGATGAAGACCCGGATAGCCCACCTTTGTCACCTACAGAGGCAGCTCACATTTCGAATTCTGAAAAGAAGGATAATAAAATTACGAATGAGGGTATGATCGTTTTTTGGCAGTCTTTGTCGTTTCCTTGGCCATGAATACCATGTTTTGTATAGATAACATCCTATGAAAGCTAGTTGTTGGTTGTTTTTACGATGATTTATAATATTAAAAGAAATTTTTGAAATTGAAGACAGTCTTAATAAGTAATTTGATCCGAACCTATCCGTGTTAAATGATCGTGGCCTAAATATGTCCAGTGTAGAGAGTTTAGAGAACCATAGTTTGATAACTTGAGAGCTCCCGACCAAAAGGAGCTCATTTTTATTCATGTTTAATCGCTCAAGTCCAACATCTTTTCAAAAACTTATAAGGCTCTTCAAGTGAAGATTTTATGACTCATTCTCCCTCATTAGGGATAAAAATAACATCAAATCATTTTTACATCTTACTATTGTGTTTGACATGTAAATATGGATTTTTTCCTTAGGGCCTCGGATGCTCCTATTACGACACTGAATATGTCATACACTTCAGCTGTAAAGCGCATTGTATTAGCAGACACGAAATATTCAGTGTCTCAGACAGCTTTTACACATTCATTACTTTTTCAGTATCATATCAAAAATCTAAGATTTTGAATTCATTTTAGATGAAATTGGAGAGCATGAAAGGAGTATCTCAGCTCAGTCAGCATCCAGTGAAACGCCGAAGATTGATTTGAAAACACTAGAGCAGAAGAGCTTGCTATTGGCTATAAGAGGTCACATGATGCCGTCCCTACTGGGGGCTGATGCGGTCATGTTTGCTACGCTGTTAGCAGATTTCTTCCCCTCTCTTGACGTGCCGTTAATTTTCAATCAAGGAATGCAAGAGGACAAACACGTGACTTCAGCCGAGAAGACGATTGGCTTGACAAACCAAGAGAAGGGAGCGCCACTGAGAATTCTACCAAGCTCACCGCAACCGAAGGACCAAGGTAAATTTGTCAAGCATAGATTTATTAAAGATTCACTTTTAAGACAATGTTAAACTCTGCAAAAACAAAACATATTTGTTGAGCTGAACGAGTAACAGTTGCTGAACTAAGAATGTTTATAATTTGTAAGATAATTTGTAAGCCTTTTGAAGCAACTATTTTCAATCACCGTTTGTATTTATATTGAATAATTTCTTATGAAATAACTATATTCAATGAAACATGAATCAGTTTATCTCTTAGCTTGAAGTTTTTCGATGCCATATACATAAATATGAGTAAATCTACTTTGCAAATACTTGTGATTGACTTTTGATTTGCAGCGATCAGTGATTTGGAGTCAGCCATTCGGATTGCTGTCCAGAAGATAGATCTTCAGCCTGGACATGCTTTCGTTTCCAGAGTGTTGCAGTTGTCCCAGCTTGTTTCAAGCAACAAAACGGTCGGTAAATAATTCAAAGTTGCTACCTTTCTCTGTTTAGTTTTTTATCCTATTTGTCTTCAGCGTTTGCGTCTAGCTAAAGTTCTTAATAAAGGGGCTTTTTGATATTTACTCAAATGCGAGTTTTTTATTGCTTTTTCGCCCTAAAGTTATAACAATGAATCTGTTCTTGGATTCTGTTTTGTATGGGGATTTTATAAAATTATCTTGTGTTAAACAAGAACAGGCACCGCATTGGAACTCACTTTACTGAATATTGAATATTGCACTAGAATTAGCTTCTACTGTGTCCTTTTATGCATTCAATCAAGCTTATATCCAATTCGCACCTGTTAAAATCAGCCCACAGCCCATCTGAACCAAATGCTAAAGCTCACTATATACTGGTTTGAATGCGAATGACTTCGGATTTTTACCTTTATACTGCTTCTTATAACAGGTAATAGTCGTTGGCCCAGCTGGATGCGGTAAGACTGAAATAATTCGAGCTTTAATTGCTGCCCAGAGAGAAATGGGTCGAAATATCATATACAATTCGATGTTCCTTGGCTCCGTGGACGCTAAACAGCTATTTGGCTACTTCGACAAAAACACTAAGTGAGTCGCTTTATCAGTTATTTTGATATCAGCTATGCTGCCTGGTGATCGCATCTGACTTTCACATACCAAATACCAAGGTGACATGTATCCCCCTCCCTGTGTGATTATGAACTTTTATTGCTTTGGCATATCGAAGAAGTTCTGTGGCTATGAAGGAAACCAGTATGAACAGGCTAGTTACGTTATGCATTGTTTGTCGGTGAACCGGGCTTGACCTTTTGAACTAGAGGGTCTATTCTTGTGAGAACTGGAAACCTTATATTTGCACCTTTAGCAGCAATATCTCTTACATATTAATCTACCCGAATACCTTCTTAAAGATTATATATGTCAAGGTACATTGGTTTGTTTATTCCAAAGTACTTGAAGTTTGATTGTATCGCCTTTTAGAGTATGGGTGGACGGACTTTTGCCATCAGTTCTGCGAAGGAAGTTGCATGACATGTACAAATGTGAGATTGGCCTTGGAGCTAGTGACTCGCAAGATCTGAGATGGATCCATTTGGATGGCCCGGTAACAATTTATCACTAAGTAGTCTGTTTCTGACGTAACACGATCTTTTGACTCGCCATTGCACACTTTAGCTAGATGTTTCATTCAATCCGAATGGGAAAAAGAGGGAAATTGTTGGATAAATGTTCTTATTATGGATCAAAATTATACTTACGGTGTCAATTTTAGTTTGGATCTTACTGCTAAATAGATATTGATTTTTGAAGTTACAAGGAGCCTCTACTTTTCAAGGAATCTGCAAGCAGATAAATTGAAAGAGAGTTTGAGACTCTGTTTGTTTGTTTGCTTGTTTGCTTGTATTTTTGGTTTGCGCTCTTACTTGATTTCACGTTGCTTCAAAATCTTTAATATTTCGTGCTATTAGAGCAACTTTATTAATAAGTTTCCCCTTGAATTTTCTTCACAGGCCCATCCATCTCAGCTTGAAACCCTTGCAGATGTTCTCACTGGAAGTGGTATGTTAACTTCACGAATTCAGATTGGCTATTGCAGGCTTTTTCTACTGACCTCCAAAGCGTTATTTTGATCAAACCGAATCAGGGAATCTGAAGAATTGTTAAAACTTTTTTGTTGATGACTTTTGCTAGGAAAACATTTTTATGTTAGCTTGCTGAAAATTTTCGAATATTTGCTCCTTTGATTTTGTAACTGAAAATTTGGCAATATAAGCATTGAGATAGGCTTACATTAGGTCTCAAAGTAACGATAGAATGGTCGGTTGAATAGAATCGTCTGAAAGAGACATAGAAGCAAAGGGATTAACAAAAGTTCTATCGTATCATTTGTAATGAAGCCATTTATTCGTTTTTTAAAGCTACGTTTTGATTTCTTTTTAGATAACCTGACGTTTCCAGATGCGGAGAGGCTGAACCTTCCTTCCACCGTGCGTTTTATTTGGGAGGTAAGTGTTTTCAATTTTGAGAAAGGAATTGTTATTGTCCTAACTTAATAATATTCTTCAGTCGATGACTCTGTTTTCGTCTGACTCTTATTAAGTTTCCCTCAGAGCAAACGTATGCTGTGAATAGATTACCACTGTGCTTAGGGCCTAAAACTGCTGTTCGTTTGAATTTTTTCGTTTTCGAAGAATTAAAACCATTAGGCTCTCAGTTTTCTGGTGAATTCCTTTTAAGTATGTTCTAAAGCTGGAATAACAACAGGTTTACGTTCCGCAAATTGTATTAAACGTGTCTCAGATAGTTTTTTAAATTTCCTGAATCCTCGAATGAACCACCTTTGGCTTATACCTTTGGGACATTTTTGCAATTTGCATTGGGGCTGTTTAAAGGTGGCTTAAACGAGGGTGTGGTCTTATAAAAATTCTCTTAAAATCGCTACATTAACAGCTCATTTTCAAAGCTTTTCATTTTATCAAGTTTAGTTTGCGAAGCAAACGCTTTCTGCGAAAGTACGTTAAAAGCAAAAACATCTTTGAAATGCTTCATTTTTCTTAGTTTTTCGTTATTCTTTTATTCTGAATTGTAAAATGAAATCATGTAGTGTAAAAATTGTCAAACTCTATACTTTCTGTCCAAATCTAAGCTGTATTTTAAAGATATTTTAAAGATCCTTTATTTTATAATTTTTTGAAATTCAGACTGTATAATATTAATAACAATATCATAAGCTTTGCAATAGGGCACTGGGCTCGATCACCTTTCATGTTTATCCAGTGTCCTAGGAAACACTCACGGACATTCTCTTTATAATTTTTTAATTCTTCTTTATGCTCATGACAATAAATAAAAATATATTTAATATACACGCTCTAAGAGCGTTGCTTGATGAAATGAAATTTGAATTTACAGGTTGACACACTGGATAACATTCCAACCTCTTTACTTTTGGATTGTGGTGTCTTGAAGCTTAATTCAGATGATATTGGTTGGGAACTGATTTTGCAGAACTGGCTCTCAAGACAAACCGAATCGAACAGAGATATTCTAACTGACTTATGCAATAGGTACATCCCAACAACGATCGACTTCCTGATCCACGAGAAAGTCATACGTTCTGAAGAAAAACAAAAGAAGTCGGTTGTCGGCTACAATCACAGCCATGGACAGCTTCAGCACGCGGTTTCATTAACAGAGACCAACATGGTTCAGAATTTAATATCGATCTTTGAAGTGAGTTGCTTTTCTGAGATTTGTTGGAAAAATCTATTTTCTCAAACATTTAAGAGAAGTAGTCTCGAAAATTTATCTATCTTAAGTTCTTTTTGTATGAAATCACTTTTTCCTACGTATGCATGATTGAATGCATTCAGATGAAAAAAGAAACTGCTTGTAAAAATAATACAAAAAATGTTAAGTTTTTAAATGATGTTGTTACGTTTTTTTAAACGAAGTTATACAGACCTAAGAAACACCGGAAGAAACGTTTACTATAACAACTGTGTCCAAACGTTCAAGCCTTCTTAAAGGTTTTGTAGCAAACAATTTTATTCAAAGTTAGTGTAACTAATTTTCTACCGCGTTCATTAAATCAAATGGCTGTAAGCTGATCCACGTAGCGAATTTTTCGATCAATAGTTGTTTAGTTGTGTTAGACTATTTTCCAGATTGTTTGACAAAATCATTTCTCTTTTCCATTTTCTATGTTTAAGACTCCTCCTGTTTTTATAGGCTCTTATCTACAATGCCCAAGATCCAAGTCATGATTGTTTTGATGCTTTCTTTAATTTTGCTGCTTTCTGGGCCTTTGGTGGAAATCTTCTCGAGGAATACAGAGAACATTTCAGCAACTGGTGGAGAAATCAATGGTCTGAATTTATTACATTCCCAGATGAAGTATCGGTACGTTCTTTTCACTCATTTTCATCCCATAGACTTGCCTTGTTTGTTCAGTCAACTCCTCTTCTAACAATTGGTTTATCCTAACAGTTCTCATAAAAAGATGACATAATATGTCAGCACCCACGTATGCCACTGATTCAAATACCAACTCTAGATTGATGTTTGTCCCTCTGCTAATGAAAGTCACTCGACTTTGTAAACACACGATAAACAAACGACTTCCTTCTAATTGTGAATATTTTTATTTGCGGTTTAGCTCTGATTGTTGGAAGATCTAGTGAAATGTAAATTTTGCTGATAACTTGCGCAAAAATACAATGCTGTAAGAATGTTGCTGCCGATTGACGATAGAAATCTTGAGAAAACTTTGGTTTAAACTTACAAAGTCAGGGACTTCAGTGGCTGAAAATGACGATGGTCCAGAAGGCTCACTTCATTTTTTTCCTCTTACTCAGTTCAGTTGTACTTTTTGACACTTCAGTCATTTCTTTTTTTACACAGTTTAGTTGTAATTTTTCAAATGATCATTGGTTAATTTGATCAGCGCTACAAGAACCCCAAGATTTTAGCTTAGCGAAGCCTGTGTTGTGGAACTGAACTGTGTAAAAAAAGAAAACTGAAGTTAGCCTTCTGGGCCATCGTAGAAATTAGATCCATCCTCACTAAATTTAAGGCAACCTTGAGTAATAACATGCCTACCATCATCCTGATTTAACCTTTTCTCTTTTCAGTTATGGCAGTGCTACGTTCACCCAGAAACACACGAATTTGTTTACGCGCAGAACTTCCTTCCTTCCTACTCTGGAAAACCAAATTCATCTTTTCCTCCTGACGCACACGTTGCCACTTCAAAAAATATGGTAAGTTCTTTGAAACTGTCTTTTTAGCTGCTCTGGCTGCTAGCACAGTAGCAAGTTTATTGCTTCCTATGTGGCGTAAGCTTTTTGCTTCCCAGCTATTAAGAACCACAGCTACATTTTGATAGAAATATTTAACCGCGTCTACCATGATTTAGTAATGTGTGTTGTTGACTAGATCTATATTTGAAAGGTGACTAGATCTATATTTGAAAGTTGTCATCTTTTTATTTTATGTTTATTTGTAGGTTGTGTCACTTCTGGTAAGTGCCCTTATTGAAAATGGAAAGCCTGTGTTGTTAGCAGGCCCTCCTGGTTGTGGAAAGTCGCACATATTTAAAGATCGTTTGCAGAGCCAATCTACTGACATGGCAGAGATTCAGTCATTGTTCATAAATGCAAACAAATTTATCACCTCGAAAACTCTGTGGCAAAGAATGGACGAGTTCCTCGAATGGAAGCATACCAAGACATATGTGCCCAAAGGCAACAAAAGACTTATATGCTTGATTGATGACCTGAATCATAGCTATGTGAGTATACTTTATGTTTTAGGCCCAATCATTTGGTATAGATGCAATAAATTTGGTAATCGTGCTCATTGGCGCTTGTTCTTCTTCTGCCTATGTTCTTTTGGCTCCTTCACACCCTGTTAACCTTCTCCAGTTACATCTGTATCTATCTTGCTTTTGTTTAGGCAAACGACGCAAGCATCCAACCTGCTTGTGAAACAGTTCGTCAACTTCTAGATCAAAACGGATCTTTCTACCATGGAGGCTGGAAATGGCGTGAGGTGCAAGATGTCACATATTTGGCGACATACAATCCATGGACTACAGCGACGACGCCCAAGTTAAGCAATAGACTGCTAAACAAATGGATCGTCTTTCATCTGCCATTCCCTTGGTAAGGTTATTTCCAAACTACAAACAATTTTTCAGTTGATATTTTCCATTTGTAAGGAACTGGGGGCCCTAGAAATAACGTTGTTTAAATGTTTATCGATAGACCTCTAGAATACTTTACCGCTCGTTTTTGGTTTATCTCTTTTGATGTCGTGTTTAATTACCCTTGTCCTTTTGCGTCTTGTCTCATGAAGATTTGCTTCTGCCCCTAACCATGGTTATGTCATTCAATTGCATTTAATTCCCTTTATATAGGAACAGTTTTTTTTGCGGTACAGAATTTGAAAATGGCTTTGAAAAAAGCAAACATTTTACAACATACTTAAAGCTTTTTCGTCTGACACTCCTCAGAGCATAAAACGTCAGAATAGGTTCCGAAAAAACACGTTTGAAAAATATATACCCAGTTGTGGATAGAAATAGGCCAATCAGAAAAACGCAAGCACAAGACCGGTATAGTTGACCAATCAGTGCCGCGAGCCTAAAGAAAAATTACCAATGGAGTCCAAGAGAGAAAACGAACTCCTTTTGTCTACACAATGGCAACGTTTGTTGGAACTGGTCAACTCAAAAATGTTGGCTACAGAAATTTATGATAGGATAAGACCCACGGGCTCTCAACGACCACAAATGTATGGCCTCCCTAAAATACACAAGCCGAACGTCCCACTTAGACCTATCTTGTCTATGATTGGCTCAGCACAACACGAACTGGCTAAGTGGCTTTCTGAAGTTTTGGACCCTGTTCTTCAAAAATATTCAAAACATTGCATCAAGGATTCTTTTACGTTCGCTGAGTTCATGCAAAACTTGAACATCGAAAACGAAACATCTTTCATGTGTTCTTTTGACATTAGTAGTCTTTTCACAAATGTTCCTTTGAGTGAGACCATCAAAATATGTGCCGACGCTTTGTACCGAAGCGAGCTTAATAGCCCACCATTCCCAGAGGAAGTATTCATTGAACTGATGGAAACTGCAACACGTTCAGTTGAATTCAGTTTTAACAATGAAATGTACCAACAAAAGGATGGTGTCGCTATGGGTAGCCCTCTGGGACCTGCCTTGGCCAATATCTTTGTTGGCTTTCATGAAGAGCGTTTGTTTGACTACGACCAAAAGCCAGGTGTCTATTTTCGGTATGTGGATGACACATATACCATTTTCAAAACAGAGGCTGAGTGTGATATTTTTCTAAAACACCTAAATAGCCTACACCCAGCCCTCCAGTTTACGTTTGAAAAGGAAGAAAATGATTCCTTACCATTTTTAGATGTTTTGGTCGAAAAGTCTAACACTGAATTTCTTACCAGTGTATATCGCAAGCCTACTTTTACCGGTCAGTACATACGCTGGAATTCATTTTGCCCAAACAACGCAAAGTCAACCTTGTCAAAACATTAGTACATAGGGCACTTATGATCTGCTCGAAATCTAAACTGCACGCTGAACTGGAAAAACTCAAAACGATCTTCTTGGACAACGGCTATCCTGAAGACGTCATTTTATCTTATACTAAGGAGAAGATCGCAAGTTTTTTGGCTGTTCAAAAGTTTGGTCCGCAAAAGTGCCCAGTTTATTTGAAACTACCATGGATTGGTAACACTTCCTTGCGATTCGAGAGTCAGATTAGGCAAGCCATAACCAATTGTTTCTTTGCTGTCAATCCTCGGATTGTTTACAGCACTAGGAGAGCCCTTCCATCCATTCAAAAGGATTGCGTCCCTACCAAACAAAAAAGTTCCGTCATTTATGAATTTACGTGCCAGTGTGATTCTGGCTACGTAGGGCGCACAACCCAAAGATTGGGGGATAGGATAAAACAGCATGTTCCTTCCAACATACGAAACAAAACTGCCCCTCAAAGAGAACAGCCTCCTCGATCTTGTAGGTCGAGAAACACTGTTAAAACAAGTGATTCTGCCATTGGTCAACATCTTTTGGACAACCCAGATTGTGCAAAACTCTATAATGACGACATGTTTCGGATAATTGGCAGAGCCCGGTCGTCTTTCCATCTAGCAGTTTTGGAGTCAATCTACATAAAAACGAAAAAGCCGCCATTGTGTAGACAAAAGGAGTTCGTTTTCTCTCTTGGACTCCATTGGTAATTTTTCTTTAGGCTCGCGGCACTGATTGGTCAACTATACCGGTCTTGTGCTTGCTTTTTTCTGATTGGCCTATTTCGATCCACAACTGGGTATATATT